TTCTTTACTTATATAAACCATATGTAAAACTAGTTTACATTAATGGATATGATTTCTCATCTTGCATCAATTAGTTACTCCAAATCCTGACCCCGGATATCTCCGGATTTCTATGTATATATACTTGAGTTTAAATGACATCGCAGTGTTTTGTGAGCGGAGCTATGACACTATTAACAGTTTCATATCTACTAATTACAATAAGGTATAACAAATACTTTTATTGTTCTACAACGTTCCTGATTGATTGTTCCTGTTAAGATACCCATTCTCGTGAAAGACTGAGATGTGGTACACTAAATAATGCTTCTGTTTGCCGCTGCATCACCAATGTACTGGTTTGCATAGACTTACTAGTATTGCAGACTATATTGTGCTCGCCTGCGTTGACACAATATGAGTAGCAACATGCTCTCCCTGTCTGTTGGACCTTGTGGACTATATTGTATTCGTTGAGACGATACATACAATGTAACAGTCTACAGTTCCAGAGCCGGCTCCAAGCCATGGCTACATCGTCGTGCTGGTCTGTTCTGTGTGAACCAGTGACTGGTATATGTATTCATCAATTGAAGACGTCGAGTTGTATCATTTCATATACATTGAAATGCTATTTGCACCACATTTTATGCAGAACATACTGTTGATGGTCTTTATGCTACGTCACAGACATGGCAGGACATTTATACTTAAGGTATTCCGTATAACGAATATCTATTGTTTAAACAATCATCATTTAATAGCGTAGGTGTATATATTTCTATACCTTCTACGCCCCGGAGTATGTAACCGGCGTGTCATACACGATACGTGAGCGGAGGTGGTCTGTAGTGAAATAACATCTACACAAGCAGACTGTTGTGGGGGCTTCGTATACCTCAAATATATTTTTTTACATGAGGTGGGCATCCTTTCCTTATTCCTTAATCCCCTTCCAATATATTTACATGTCTTTTGAAAAAAAAATCTATACAGCATATCACTATATTTTTATGATTATCTCACGTACCTCTTAAAGAATCGCGGGTTACCTACTTACTTATTTATTTAAAACACAACGTAATGTTAACAATAAGGTCCTAATCAAACTAGATGATCATACAATTAAAAATTTAATATGGCCATTTAATAGATCCATAGTATCTTGTATACTTTGATGCTTGGGTTTATATATTTTAGATTATTGTATGTATATTACTTATATACATATATACACATATAAGTTTTATATATGTGTTACTGTTATGATAAAGTCCTGGTCATGGTATTGGTCTTCGTTCCACGTGATTCGACTTGGAAGGCGACGACATTATGATGGTTCTATTGGATCGTCTAAGGGGGGGGGGTGCCGTTACAAGCTTCCAATCTCCTTGAAATTCTGCATTAACATTAACTTTGCTAGCAGTTTCGCCATACAATATATTACTCGTCTTATCAATTTGCTGGTTTACCAACGTTGAAACAGCTGTTTTTTCAATGACTATGCTGTTGTCTGTAGACACCGGTCGCTACCCGTTTCAATTGTTTGCGAAACTTGTGCTATCCAAAGTCAATGTCAAAGTCAAAGATTATTTATTCCATAGGTAAAATAAATTTACACTTAAAATCGTCACATTTAAGCTACTGATCGTTCACTACGCTGACCTCCCTGAGAAGAACGAGCAAGAAACTCTAGGGATTGCTCTTTTCAAATAAAATTAAATGCTATGGAATACACTTTGAATCAAATTTGTGTGGATTCTGGAGCCATGTCGTCTTTCCATACATCTTTATCTAACACGTAGTCTTCAATTTTGTAATATGATTTTTCGATCAAAAATATTTTTAATGTAGTTTTTAACCTTAGGAAATGATAAACTTAATATATGCTCCGGAATCTTATTGTAAAAATGTTCCCCATAAAAGAGTTGTTTACCTTGGTTAAACGAAATCGTGGTACCATGAGTTTGGACTTAGCTCTAAGGTTAATATTATGGATATCTTCTTTCTTATTGAAATCCAATACTTGATTTACTGTTTCATAAATTTATTGCTTATTCGAATGCGTTGAAGAGGGCACGCTCTTATGCGTTTCACCCAACGCGCGCGACAGAGATATCTTAATTTTTATATCGTATATTGCGCAGTTTAGTCTTCAAATTAAACTTATACAATATTAGTGCAGTACGCCGTCGATGTGCCACCAATAAGCCATTGAAAAGCAGAATACCAAACGTACAAAATCCCTGCCGTTGACCCTGTATCGACATACAATTGAGAAGATTTTTTAGCGCCCATCTTCCTCAGGTGGTCCTTCCATTTTGCCTCAGGGCGTCCTACACTTTGTTTGGTTTGACATCGTCGCCAATTTAGAACAAATCTGCTCCATCGGTTATCACAGTTTCTGTAGACATGACCTTACATGACTTAAATCTTTATTACAGCTCAATAATACAGGTTCCCCACGGCTTAAAATATTATAGTATTGTACATAGGATACTTTATATTTGTGGCCTAAAGGTTACGACACTGGTCTGCCACGCAGAGGTTCCGGGTTTGAATACCGGGCCATAGAAATATTTGCATGGCTTATATTTATAGTTGTAGTTGTCTATGTGTGTGTCTGTGGCACCCGCGGTACAGGTGGCTCCCTAATGTGAGCCATGAGTGTATGCGTTAAAAAAAACGAATATTGACAGTAAAATGGTTTTGACAACCACTCCATGGTGTGCATACCGGATTTCATAGTGTCGCTATTATCTGAGGTCCAGGGTTCGATCCGTGGCCGGATCAGTGTAGAAATTAACTTTTCTATATTTTCTCGGGTCTGGCTGTTTGTGGTACCATCGTTGTTTCCGATTTCCATAACACAAGTGCTGTGATGTTGTCTAATATTCAAAACGCAATGATAATTTATTTTCCTAATCTTAAATGTAACATTTCATGGTGTTCTTTAAATTTAATATACTATGTACATTTGGTTTTTTTTTATCGACAAGTGTTTGTGTGTGTATCAAGTGTAATCGACACGCCCATTCATCAGCTGCAGTGCCACTCAGAGCTTTAAATCGCAAAGATCTGAGGGGCACCGCCACTGCGCCCATCACCCTGAGACATAAGTTGACAAGTCCCATGTGCCTGTAATTACATGTACACCAGCACCCCTACCCTTCTAAACCGGAACGCATTAATCTCACATTACTGCTTGGCGAGAATAGCTAAGGTGGCAGTCTTCATCCTTGTTCGCCTATATTATGGATTACGTGCTTTGTGGATAAATAACGTCTTTTTACTTTATTAATTTGTTTTTATTTACAAGGAATTAATAGTTATAAATGTCTTTTGCAACAGGCATAATTAAAATATTACTTACATTTTTTTCACATTTAGTCGGTTCGATTCTCAGAAGAAACAAGCAACTTTTAAAAGTCGTTGTATGAAGTTACCTACTCATTTTTGCAAATAAAATATTGTCCCCATGATACAAAATATCTTATCTACAATATTTAAAGTATCCTCTATGTCACACAGCCGTGGAACACTCTGTATATAACCGAAGGCAAAGTAAGCATTAACTTGTCAGCCTACAATTTTCTCATAATACCTAATGGAACAAAGCATTCGGGGAAAAACTTTACTTTCCATTCCCGATGAATGAAGAATAGATGAGAATTGCTAAAGAAACATTTAATAAAAAAATCATACAATGTGTAAATTGAGTATACCATCTTTATTTCACCATGCACAAAAAGAAAATAGTAAACACTATTTTCTTGTAGAATAGGTTGTGATAGGTATTTGCGCTTTGTTCAAACATCAACAGCCAAAGTTTTTTACTGTAATTCACTGCTCAACATAAATGTCTACAAGGTTAACTGCCTATATTATAAGAAACATCTTTTGTTACATCGCTTTTGAAAATACATACCAAAAAATTGGAATGAAATATTTTTTTATGAATCTCTTCTGGTCTTCAGTTATTATTACTTATTACTGCGACAGTTTTCGATGATTTGCGAACCAATTTCGATGATTCTTCTTTTGTTGGAAAGGGATTACCTCAGAAGTGGTTCCACTCAAATTTGAAGAAAATATTTTACTTCTAAAGGTGACAAATTAGAGAATGAAATTCACCCAGTTTCCGTTAAGAGATTTCAATAACACTTGACACATTAATGTAAAACCAATGAGAATAAAACACAGCGAAATTGGCTATGGCTATATACAAAAATCCTTTAGCCAGAGCTGGTAGCTGTAAATGTATCTAACTAGATGACGAAATATCGTAGATTTCTCATTGATGGCGCTACTGGCTAAAAAGTCGTTGAAAAACCAAATACAAAGATACGACGCAAGCACATAGAAAAATTCGTGAGGTCCGCTGGTTCGTCCGTAGTTTAGTTGGTATAGCGTTTGCCACGGTATGCTAGAAGACGTCGGTTCCATTCCGGCTGAATCGAAGGAAGTTTTCTGAGTGTTCGATTTTTGTATTAATAATTATAACAAACTAGTGGAGTAATTTCACATAAAAATAGTTGAATATCAATACAATAAAAATTTAAATATTATAGTTATCAATCAAAGCAACGTTTCGGGCCCTTATCAGGTTCCGTGGACACGGCTGACTCTCAATGAAAGAAAATTTTGCCTTCTTTCCTATGTATTTTAGATTTTAGCCTGATTAACTTCCACTGTCTCCTCAGACTTCGTGGAATAATGCAGTCGCGACAAACAGCAGTGTCGTCGGTAAGGCCGCACACAGTAGAAAGTACGGTCCTGACTGTGAAATAAGTAATACTCGACCAAATACAAAAACGCATTATACGAATGAAGCTTCATACTTGACATTGTTTTTTGTTTTGGTCGAATATTACTTATCTGACAGTAATTCTTACGGACGAATATCGGACGAAACGAAAAAAAAACGAGATTAGACCCCCTGTCTGCGTCTCAGGAGTTGCTTCATCTTCCTTTTTCCTATAATGGATGGCATTTAACGACAACAATGTATTTTTTCTTAGGGCTGGAATGACATAGGTTTCCATGGCATGAACCACATTCCTACACCGAACATCGATGCTCTGGCGTGGTCAGGCATAGTTCTACAAAAGTACTACGTCCATCCAATATGCACGCCTTCGCGGTCGGCGCTTATGACTGGGAAATACGCCCATAATCTAGGTAAGTGTGTAATGCCATTAAAACTTAGTGAATAAGAACACAGTTCCATGAGCAGGGGATCTGTAAAGAGGTCGAAACCATCGAAACGTTGGTTTGTTTGAAAACAAATATAAGCGATTGAGTAGTTCTCTCATTTTGCTGCAAATCTTATGACCCATAAAATAATAAAGAAAATAAATACCTACAATAAGCATGTAAATTATTTTTTATGATATAGATAATCTTCTTAGGTATATTTGTCATCAAACCAATATGAATAAAAATTGTAAAATCTCACCTTTAAAAAATATAAAAAATAATACCAAATTCCGTATTATTTTACGCGTACTTATAATATTTCTGCTCACGATTTTGGGCTTGGCGCTTTGGGTAAAAACCCGGTTAAAAGCCGGCCTGGTTGATCGAGTTTTTGTCCACTACTCATCTCTGCTTCCGAAATCTGACAGCATCTTAACAAGTGTTTAAATTAAAAAGGGCTTACTTTTCCAGGTTTGCAGCATAGAGTTTTATATGGCATGGAACCAAGGGGCTTACCGTTGTCGGAGAAGATTCTACCTCAGTATCTAAAAGGCCTTGGATATAAAACCCACCTTGTAGGCAAGTGGCACCTAGGCAGTTACAAAAAGGAATATCTGCCTTTAAACAGAGGGTAAATTAACAGAAACAATGTAGAATTTACTGATATGATAATAAGTGATATTTTTCTATATCTTCACATACATTTTTAAAGTTCTTCGAAGACAAGTGAACATCCAAACTCACATTGGGTTATTGAGGTCTACTTAACGGAAACTACTGGAAGACAATATTGCTACTGCCAGTGGTTTTTTGGTCGAAGAATTATTTTCAATCATTATTAAATTTTCAGATTCGATAGCCATATTGGGTTCTGGACCGGTAGAATCGATATGTACGATCACACCAATATGGAGCAAGGCTCTTGGGGCTTCGATTTCAGACGAGGTAAATACTAAAATCTTATTATGAGTCTGAATTTCTGAACTTGAAACACAGAGGATGAGTTTTGATAGTGTACTTGCATCGGATTTGAGATTTCACATTGATCTTCAGAGTAGCTTTCTTGCAGATGTGTGTCGATCATATTCGATCGAATCAAAAAGATTCGAACAAGACCTGTCACCCGATAATCCGGTTACTAGCTTCTAAATAACCCGATCATTTTAGAGTTTCATGGGTCATGCGCGCAATATTCGATTTTATTGATATAATTTTAGAGTTTATTCAACAATTCACAATTTTATTGTTGTCTGGTTCACTCTCTCGTGAGTGAGGACTCACGCCACGGTTCGCCTTCTCAATCTTCGTTTGGGTCGAACATTAAATGTTGGATAGAGCATTCGTTCGATGGAACCTTCGTTCGATCGAACTAAAAAGTCAAGCAATCGATCAACGCGTCAACGGGTCAACGGATTACCGGATCAATGAGTCTATCAATCATTCATCATAATTGCTCCGTGGTGTAGTGTCCATTACATTGTAATTTTGTAAGTTTAATCTGTTTTTCGGTATGTTGTGTTTATTTATGAGTGCATTAGGTAATATTAAAATATAAATGAATAATGAATCAGTAACTTTGTATGCTCATAAGTTTTTTGTATTTTTGTTTTGTATGTGTTACTTTTCCTAGAAATAAATTTTAGTGTCCTAAATGTGGTTTATCGATGATGCATTTAACTTTAACATCAGCAGAAAAGAATAAAAGCTAATTGTATTATTTGACACTTTTAAACGCCATATTTATTAAAGTATCATGAGCGACGGGTGACCCACTAAAAGATCGAACATATGATCATTTGACCCGATCATGTTACGCATAGGTCATGATCGACCCGGGTTATCGAAAATGATCGACCAACTCAGGTCTACTTTTTTGTCAGACGGTTAGACCATTAGTTTACCGAACTGTTTACCGTGAATATCTATATGGTCAGAGTGAAAGGGCATTTGATAAGCGAAAGTGCAAAGCCCTTGTTCAAATTCTCAGGTGAAATTGTAAATACACGTGAGGCGGACTAGTTGTTTTCTTAAAGGTGCCTACAGACTTGTTCGTTTTTTTTATATGATCACCGATGGTCCGAAAAGGTGTTCCACATATATGGATAAATATATATATAGCTACAAAGAGCGACATAAAGTTCTTAAAACCACCAAATAATAATTAATTACTTATCGAGTTCTTAGGTTTTCGCGATTGTTACACACCAACAAACAAACAAAAAAAAAACAAAAGGTTTGTTTGAAAAAACAAATATACGCGATTTAAATCCGGAAAAATAGTTTCATTTCCTATAAATTAATTCCTTTTTTCGAATTCCGGATTTCCGGAAATGGTTTTATTGCCTTATCGCCGTTCCGTCAATGTGTGGGGCGCGGTGCGGTATCTAAAGCTAGGAAGTGGTGGAGACCATTCTCGTTATTTTTTTATTCTTTGCTTTGGTAAAAGGTCTGTTAATCTATTACATTTTTCTACATGGCACCATTAGAACTACTTTAAAATCCAACTTCAACTTCCTAGGTCAGTAATTTTGTCCTACGATGCAGTAAACCCATTTTTTATAACATCAAGTGACGGGACGAACTCGCTCCTTGTAGCTATATCTATTTGTACATGTATCTATTAATGTGGAACAGCTTTTCCGACCATTGTTGATCAAACATGTTGATAGACAAAAAATGTGGTGTCGATCGCCTGTCGCTTAGAAATTTTTTACTCGTTTTGTTTAATCACATGTGTCGATCGTCATAAAAATCGAGAACATGAGTAGGCACCTTAAATCTGCCAAGGTATTTCTTGTTACGCTACAGGGCTTACTGTTTAATGAGGTTCAATAGAGCAATGTTTTTTAAGTCATGAAGAATTGGATCATGGCAATTTATTATTTTGAGCGTGAAGACTATTCGGTACTTTGCTAAGTAAAGAATTATGTCATTGCTACTTACCTTTGAAACGATGTAGTGTTTATGAAGCAATTGCGTTATTGTTAATTTTCAGGGTATGAGGTCGCGCATGATTATTTTGGAAAATACGTTACGGATATTTACACCCAGGAAGCAGAAAAGGTATATCACTAAATTATTATTCGAAGAACCCAGTCCGGTCCCCCCTATCAGCTAGTCCTGTTTTATTTCCACTTCAAAATTGATCAAACTGTAATAGATTACATCGCTGGAAACCTGCACGGACCAGGGATACTCGACCAAGTTAAATGATAATGTCTAGTATGAAGCTTCATTCGCGTCATGCATCTTTTAATTTCGTCGAGTACCTATTGCTTATTTGACGGTAATTGGTTTGGACGGATGTCGGACGAAAAATGAGAGTATAGGGCCAGTTTATGATCTCACATTTCGGTTTACTATAAGTGTTAGAGAATAAGGAAGAACTTAGAGTTTGAACATCTGATGCCCGAGCCCAATTTTATGGGAGAAACTAAGCAGTGAGGCTCTTGCGTGGACATGTGTGAATGAATCGGAGAGGGTCGTGCTGCGACGTCCAAAAAGCGTACCTATTTGGGGCGAGCAAATAGACGTCCACCAGTCGGACGTCTCAGGAAGAGTGCATGTGACATTTAATAAAAAAGTTATGTATACTGAAAAAGGCAGATCTGTCAGTATTTTTATTTTTTCCTAAGTAGATAAGGCATGAAGTTACAGCAAGATAAAAACTAGATAAAAAATTTTATATTTAATTTCTTTAAACATAATTTTCTCGGTTTTGAGTTTTTGTCACAAGAGCCCTTTGAACTAACGACAGCAGTACTGGGCCCTGATTTTAATTCAAACCGGAGTCGATCCGATAGGGTAGCCCATCCGCAATATTATACGCCTCGACTCGGAAAAGACGCAGTTTCTGATCGGGAGAGGCAATCAAAATCAAGCTGCTGGAGACTGGCAGTAGCGGGTTCGGAACACGGAGGCTCTGTGGAATCTGCGGTATCGAATCAAGTTAGAAAATAAATTCCTGTGTGATTTTATCTTAATTGTTCCATGTTCTGGTTTTCAGATTATCAAAGGGCACAACAAAAGTGAACCACTGTTTCTGGTAGTGGCCCATTCAGCAGTTCATTCCGGTAATCCCCCGGAGCCAATCAGAGCACCTGATGATGTTATTGAATCTTTTAACCATATTTCTAATTATCAGAGGAAGAAATTTGCTGGTCAGTATTTTTCAAAGGGGTATAAATGTTTTCAAAATTGGTTCATTCGTATGAAAAAGTGCATTAACGCTAACGGAGAATATTTTGAGAAACAATAAATTCATTTCGGACCATTTATAGTATATTTTTCTTATTCATTCCGGAAACTTATAGTGCGCCTCACGTATATGTATACATTAACTAACAAGCACCTCGACAGACTAAACCAGATGTAACATGTTTCGTTTTTCAATAATATTACAATGGGCGTACACACATGGATTTAATAAGTCGGTCAGAATTTAAACGCGATGAAGTTACATGGGTCAATTTTAATGGTAATTAGATGTCAAAATAATATCGTCCACTGTCAAAAATTACATAATTAATTTAGAGATTTATTATATAAAAATTCAGATGCTGTATAGTACATTTTGTTAGACAATAACTTGTTTAATTGTTTTTTAAATAGATTAAAGTTTTTCTCAGACCTTACCTACCAGACATTATTTTTAAATTGTGTTATTTTTATTACATTGCATTATATTTTACATTACAATATTATATTACATTATTCTTTAAGATTTTAAGTAAAACCGTGTAATAGGAGAAGCACTTAATATAAATAAACATTCTTTATGAGTTCGTTAGTGCTCTCGTGTCATTATAGGAAAAAAAAACATTAATTAAAATTATGTTAATAAATAATATTTTAATTGTTTTGACGTTCACAAGGTCTTCATTTATATTTGTTATGTACAAGTGGCATGTAGCACATAGTACATTTGCATTACTGCTAGGGATTATTTATATCTTTTCCTTGTTTATCGTTTGGTTATTGGCAGAGGAACATGGTTTAATATGAAATATTGTTTCTGTTGTTGCAAAGTCCTTAAGTATGTATATTCAAACTATTCGGCCTGATTAACGCATGTACGAAAATTTGCCCGAAAAATATCACTTATTTCAGTTATTAACCGACCTCAAGAAAGGAGGAGGTTCGTAATTCGACAGTATTGTTTTTTGTGTGTATGTTACGCGACTATTCCGCCATCTGAACCGATTTCGATAATAATTTCTTTCGTCGTCGCTGTGTTTAAGCATGCGGCCGAATAGCAAAAAATAGGCCGAATAGTAACCGAATATTCGTTGTAACTCTAATTCTTTTATTAATACTTTGTATTATGTCATTCTTAGATATTCTTTAAATCCAATACCAGTATTTTTCATCAGAACCCGTAGCACTTAAACTTGTATAAGCACCTTTCAGGGTGGAAGTTACTGTGCTGTCATCTAAATTTCTTACAAGTTAGTTATTTAGTTACGAAATGTCTTTTCAGGGGTACTCTCAAAGCTAGACGAGTCAGTGGGCAAAGTCATATCGTCGCTGCACTCTGAAGATCTGCTTAACAACACAGTTGTGCTGTTCACAACCGATAATGGAGGATGCCCAGCTGGATTTAACCAAAACGCTGGCTCGAATTATCCTTTAAGAGGGGTGAGTTTTTCACAAGTCCTAAGTATATAAGTCATTCAGAAGTCATATCGTGTCGATAGAAGAAGAAGAAGAAGAAGAAGAAGAAGAACGACAACGACAACGACAACAACAACGCCCGAACGACAATGACAACGACAACGACAACAACAACGACAACAACAACGACAACAACAACGCCCGAACGACAATGTAATAAGTGTGGTAAAACATGATAGCCTCAAACCGATTCCGCGAGTATTCGATTATTGTGGAAACTCTCTGATTAATGATGTACGGGCACAATCCGAGCGTTGCGAAACCCGCGAGTCCCGGGTCCCAGTTTCTACGAACACCTACCCGCAAATGTAAGCGCTCCGCAGATGGAGTAACTTTAGTTGACGCAAGTGGCAACTTTTTACAAGTTTCATTAACGGTTGCTGGTTGCCGCAAATTTAAGTAAACTCTCGAAATCCACGGTCAAGACTGACGCTGCGGGGCACGGGGAGGGAGTGAAGTCGCTTCACGAGTTGCGCTTGCCGGTTGCAGAAACTGGCTATTGGAGACAACTGGTACAAATTTGCAAGTGTCTAGTTGCGACAATTAAGAATTTATTTAATCACGGATTTCGGCAATCGAAAGCTATAGTCGATTGCCGAAACACTCAAAGGAAGTTGCTACGTCTGCGCGGTTTCTTCAAATGTTATGAAAAACGTCAGCAGGTGGCAGGTTGCCAGATGCCGAAATTGGATGATCAAAGTTGCTCCATCTGCGCAGCGCCTAAAATGTGTTATAAACGATGAAATGTTTTACATCCAGCTGAAACTCCTTTTATTGTATGAATTGTATAGTGTCTCTAAAGGAATTTCTTTCGGGAAATTATTATTTTTTTTATTTGACAACGTTGTATTTCGACAATATTTTGTTTATATTATAATTATTATTGTTAATATTACTGACGATGATATCATCATATCATTGACATTGTATTTTAAATTGTAATATGACAATGATTTCATGAAATAAATGATTCTATATTCTTAAGTTAAAATGAAATGAAATGGGGCTTTATTTCTCAATCACAAAACAGGCTTAAGAGCAGGGGCCTTAAGGTTAAAACAAAATAAAGATTGACCAAACTGTTTTGTGAGACTGATGCCCGAGATAGGTATAGAAAAACCTGTATTACGGGTCACCAGGCTTCCACTCTGCAGATGATCAATGTGGTTGTGGCACTGAAGTTGTGACACATGAAAAAATTTATAAAAGCACGTAAATAACTTCTAACCCTCTAAAACTTAAAGCTAAATAAATTCACGATATGTAAAGTGTAAGAATGAGTTTATAAGGTGCGTGTGTTACTGATTAGGTGTGTAAGAATTATATGTTTGGGGTGTATGGTATGTATACGGAACAGTTAAATAAGTTTTATTTGAGGACTATAAAAGTAATTGCTCAGTTTCGTCATAATTTTGGATCTTAATCCAATCGGTGATAGTTTTAGCTAAAAGCATTAACGTCTTAGTTGACTTCAATTATCTGATACCTACTTAAACTTAACTTACGAACAAGATCTCTGTTATATCTGAAGTTATATCTGAAGAAATTCCTATCTATGCCTACAAATTGTATTGCAGACGAAAGCCACATTCTGGGAAGGGGGTACCAGAGGTGCAGCTGTACTTTGGAGTCCACTATTGCAGAAAAAATCTCGTATAGCCAATCAGAGACTCCACATCACTGACTGGCTACCTACGCTCTTTGGTGTTGCACGTGGCAATGTGAGGTAAGATATGAATTGACTTAATAACAGGACGTTATATTTAAGTAATGATAATTGAAATGTTTAACCCTTTAGTTTCATCTTTTAGAACAAGTGTATTAGTTAGTTACTTTTTATTTAAAAAAAACCGACCTCAAAATGTTGTTTATCGGCTTTTTTTTGGAATTACATCTATTTGCCTAGGTTTATTGTAACCGGTTAAAGGGAAGTGCGCGAAATCGGATTCGTCCCCTAGTTTGCCGCCTTTAGAAGCGGAATATTTTCTTCAAATTTAAATGGAACCAATTAATTCTCCTGACTTGGTGGCGCTCGCGCACTCTCACGTGGCTCACGTACTCAATCTTATTAGTAAAGATCCGTGCACACAGGGGGCACGTGAGCGCACCGTCAATGTAATGGTAGCTGATCGCCGCAGGTGGTCGGACTTTCGGCTCGTCATATGTGACGTCGAACTCATTTCGTCGACGAGTCTCAAATTGTGACGTCTTGCTTGCCACAAAAGATCTACATTGCGAGGGATCGGCTGCCTGTTTCTCCCACTCTGTTGGGTCAATGTCGCAATTTTTCATATGGTGCTTAAGCACATCTTTGTATCTAAGGAGTTGTCCGCCATGCTTTCGCTTGCCCCCTTGAGTTCCGAATAAAAGATGCGCTTTGCCACTCGCTCCACTGCCATCCTTGATATATGGCCGCTCCAACGAAATTGTCGCGGCATAAGATATACCTCGATTCCACATACCTTAGCTCTTCGTAAAACTTCTGTATTCCGCACGCGGTCGGACCAGCTGATGTTTAACATTTTACGAAGGCATTTCAGGTGAAATCGGTCCAAAGTGCGGATATGGCGACGATACACGGTCCATGTTTCAGCAGAATGTAAGATGTTAGCAGTACAACAGCCATGTAAATGGACACTTTTGTAGTTTCAAGTCATGCTATCTAGCTTAACAAAACGCTGCCGCGGCGGCCGCTATTCTTCTGTTGATTTCAGCATCAAGGTCACACGTGGATGTTATCGTCCCCCCAGATAACGAAACCTGTCGACCTGTCTCAGCACATCATCGCCAAGTTTGACAGATTTACGAATTCCGGAGTAATCGCGAAACATAACACAAAAAAATAGTCTAATTGAGAACCTTTTCCTTTTTTGAAGTCGGCTAAAAAGTATAAAATGTGAATGACACAGATATCGGAATAGGTAAACTATATTTACTTAAATGTCAAGAAATACGTATAGAATACCCATTCTATATATAATGCCTGTCATGATATATGTTTATTTTATAACAATATGATATGTTTTCTTACAATTACAGTTTTTCTTCTTCTAAATTACATTACCGTGTATAATTGCTAGATATACTTCGAAAATATAAAATAACGTACATTACAGGATTTTGGAAAGTACACACTCTATGTATATTAGGGCCTCCAGTCTTGCTGCATTTCCGCGTCTCGAGCAAGAACCGAGACTCGGTGCGGTCTTGAAAATTCCGGGAAAAACGCAACTTATTTCAATTAGGTCTTTAGGCAGTCAAAACATGGTGCTTAAATCAAGTTCTTTATTAGCTTAAATTATTCATGAGAGTTCTTTTTTAATTTTATAGCGGGACGTAACAAACCAACGACGTTTATGTAATTTCAGAAAGAAAGATCCTTATTTTATCACTACCGTTCTTCAATTTCCACAGATTACACTAAGCTCCATTCACAGAACAATAAATACAGTAGAAGTGGTTAGTTAGAGTCTGACGCGTGCCAACTATAGGTCTCGAAAGACCTATCTGAGCTTCGTCCGCCATTTTCGCTTCGTTTGGAATGGTTGTGTCATTATTTCGTGTAAATTCTCTAAAATCCTAGAAAAATGCCTTATTGCGCTGTTATGGAGTGCAAAAATTATAGCGGCACCAAAAATATACCCGTGGTGGTATTTTATATCTTTTTTTTTTTATTTTTTTTATTCTGTTTATCGAAATATTTTTTTTGTTACAAGAAACGAAATTAAAGCTTATATACCCTGCAGTATGGTTGCTACTTGTTTGGGGAACTAAATTAATAACTCCAATTCGTCGTGGTTCAGCAATTAACCGCTAGATGTGAGCACATTGATTGAAATTTGAATATAATATCAAAACGTCGTAAATTGTAATGTGCTTGTAATAATAGGTACCTATTGATGGCATTGAAGTTTCAACGATATGCCAACAGGGCAAAGTTTAAATTACATTAACAATCCAGAATTTGTTTTTTCTTTTTCAAAGTAGGAAGAACGACCAATCAATATCAAGACTTTGTAGTGTTTCAAATTAAGAACGTCTGAGTTTTGGCAACATCGCTTCTGATAGTAATCGAGGCTATGGCATTTCCATTCTTTTTTTCATTCGTGGCTCCACTCTATCCTGCTGGGATGTCCATGTAATCAGAATAAAAATTGGCTTGGTTTAATGGAAGAAAAAACAACAATGGAAAGGCTTATAGCCTCGATTACTATCAGAACCGCTGTCGCCAAAACTCACTATCGTAATGTTAAACACTATGAAATTTTGATAAATAATTTATAACGATGTAACAAATTCTAGACTGTTTATTTATATAATGTAAACTTTACACAGTTGGCATATCGTTGAAAGTTCGACACCTATTATTGCAAGTTATGACGTTTTGATTTTATATTGAAATTATATTCAATGTGCTGCCATCTAACGGCAATAACTGGGAGATGACAAACGACTAACGCCTGTTACGAAAACCTATTACGATAAACAGAAAATAGAAAATATATTAAAATGAAATAAAATCACTCAAGACTCAAGGGTGATATAGAACACCACCATGGGTAATATTACAGGTGCGACTATCACTTTTGCACTTCAAATTAACAAAATAAGGCATTTTTCTATGAGATAAATTGACACGACCCTAACGACTAACGACCAAAGCGAAAATGGAGCTCAAGTATATATAACTCCACGTACTGTTGGCGCACGTGTCACGCCCACTAAGCACTTCTACCTATATTTTCATTCTGTAGCTAGTTTAATAGATTTTTCCAATACTGTTTAATTAAGTTCTCGGAATCTCAACAGTCTCGATATTCTCGAGACTGAAAAGATCAGTCTCTAGTCTCTAAAATATTAGTATATTAGAGCGTTAGCGCTTTAGTATTTTAGAGCGCACCCGCTCTGAATTAAAAAAATCGTAGAGACTCGCAAAATCGTCGAAAAAATGTCTTTAAATTTAATTGAATCTATTTTTCATCTCGAAATAAAATTTAATGTAGGAAATAATCGACATCTATCAGTGAACGACTAAAAATTAAAGTACATTAGTGTGTTGAAAGATATAGATGGCATCGACCAATGGGACGCACTTTCCAAAGACGAAAAATCTCAGCGTAACACGATAACGTACAACATTGATCAAATTGATGGAACTGGTGCTTTGTCTATAGACGACTGGAAACTGGTAACAGGTAATTTAAATATAATTATTATAAAAGACTTCTGTCCATTTACACTAAACTCAAGTGCAAAAGACTCTCTATTTCACTCTCTTTTGGGCATTCTAGAGATAGATAGAAATAGATATATTTATTTGTAAGCATACACGGTAAATACAGTTTACATATTTAAGATTACACTTATAGTTCAGCGTGTTGCGCCAGTACTTAACTGGCATAGAAATATTAGTTGCAAATATTACACAATGTTCGCTTCTTTCGTCATATTACATTATATAATTAAAATCATATCGTATTACATTATTTTCTTTTTATTGAATAATATAATTAAAGAAAAAATATGATTTAATAAAAAAGAGGAACGCATGTCAATGTAATAAATATGTAGAGCACTTATGTGGTCTGTGATGTAGAGGGTCGCAGGCTTCAAAATTTAAATGTAAAAAACTCATTTACTTTATAAAAACAATTTGTCACAAGCAATTCAAATAGTATTTTCTTAAATCTAGACGTAGGTAACATTTTTATATTGTCACGTAATACATGTAAGTGTGCAAATATCGGGTTAAAAAAGTTTTTTTGTCAAAAAACATAGTTATTTATGCAATCAGGCGTTTTATGCGAAGCGGCTGTGGTACCTTCAGTTACATCAAGCGATCGTTCAACACGTTACAAGTACAACAACGCATTTCGAGCCATGTTACGGCTGACATGGCGCTGCAGCGCGTCTGGCATGTTAGTCCTGCACAGGGTGAAAGATTTTGATACCTTATTACGAAAGCGTCAATGGCTTTTTAACTGCCTCCGTCGCCTTTTTGGATTTGGTAGCCGACTTAGAGTCGGGGGCTCAGCGGCGGCAAACGTCAGTCGAGAAGTCAGCGTGCCTACAGCTCCGGTACCTAACTGGAAAATAGGGAGGGTGCTGTACGTGTACTCGCTGCGGCTCACCTACGCACTAGCATTACAGAGAACCGGATGAAGTCCGTGCAAACGGGCTGATCCGGGGTTAGAACCTGACTTAGATGGTCCCCGTGCGGGTTCGCTCGCACAGTTCATAGTGCCCTTCCCGCTCAACCAAGATGTTGATAGGGAGGGGCACTTATAAACAAAACTTATGTAGAAATGTATGGGACTACTTCCGTGGCCGAACGGTTACTATGCACATAGAGGTTCCCGGGTTCGATTCCCGGGCCGGGAGAAATATTTGTATGGCCTACATTTATTTCTCTCTTGAGTTTGGGTGTAATTTGTGGTTGTCTATGTGTGTGTCCATTGTACCTGCGATACAGTGTGTGCGTTGAAAAAAAAAAGGTCGTTCACAGAAAGACTGTCCAAGAACTTTGCTTTCGAAATGCGTCGCTGTAATTGTTTTAAATGTTCCCAATTTTAATCTTATTCGTATTTTAAATTAAATTACATTTCCCATTTTAATTAGTAATTTGCATTTTATTTTTATTTAAGTATTTTTTTAATAAATAAATATTAGGAAAACATCACAAATTGCTCTGATCCCAAAGTAAGTAGCTAAAGCGCTTGTGTTATGGAAGTCGGAAACAACGACGGTACCACAAACACCCAAACCCGAGACTATATAGAAAATTTAGTTTCTACACTGACCCGGCTGAGGATCGAACCCGGGACCTCAGAGATGACGAAACCATGAAAATCGTTGTGTAAGCCACTCGACCACAGAGGCCGTCAAAAATTTGCTGCTTTTACTTTCATTAATTTTTTTATTCGGGTGTGTAACGTAATGGGATTTATGCCTAAATAAATAATTGAATTATGATGAATACATTGTGTTAAGAGTGTCTTATCAATTTAAGCAATGGAATCTAAGAGCTACTTAAGTTTAGTGCAAATGGACATAAGCCCAAGACCAAGGGAAATAAGACTCCAATGAATACCTTCAGCACTTTATAAATCTCATGTCATTGGTTGTGTAGTTTTAACAAGTATTCGAGACTTAGGTGTCGTCATGCAAAAACTTATGGTAGCATTACCATAAGTTTTTGTAACTACATTGACAGAATCATTAATAAAGTTTCAAGGTCAATCGTTGTTTTGAACATTTTTAATGAACCTAGCAAGTGTATTAGTGCATAATAATTATTATGACTTAAAAAAAAACTCCCAAAGTATGTGGAAATATTTACATCTATTTGCCAAATCAGTTAACGGAAAATGGGTGAAGTCCAATAAACCGAATTCATGCCCTTATTTGCCACCCTTAGAGGTGGAATGTTTTCTTTAATAATACGCACACCCCCATTTTCTACAAATTTGAATGGGAACACTATTGAGATACTCTGATAAATGATAAAAACAATCGTCTAAATCGGTTTACAAATGTCGCAGTAGTCGTACACACTGGAAATCGAATCCGGAACCTATAGTCCATTTGTTTAGGTACTTAACTAAATGTAAACAATCTTGATACATCTTTTTATTGAAACACATGCTTTACAAATCAATAGGTATAAAAATAGGCATGCAATTTCATATGAAGCTAAGTATTTGTATTTTGTATTTGAAGGTAAGGGAAAATCATTTTATAAATGTATATTTCATTAAATAGACATCTCAAGATTGTTTAAATTTATTTAAGTACCTAAACAGATGGACTATAGTCATTCAGCAGCACCAGTTGATATAAGTACGGAGATAAATTAGAATAGTGTAACTGAAAACTAAACTCGGGTTGGTAAGTATTATTCGTATAGAATAGGACGTATACAAAAACGCTTCCTTTATCATTCCGTATTCATATGAGTCACGATTAATGTACTTTGACAAATTGTCTTTGCAAAAAAAAAAGACAAAAAGCACGTGATATCACGATTATATCTGTGCTTCGCTGTCTTCTATTCTTACCCGCGTCTGCATAATCGAAAAACGTATTAACACTCTGTTTGTAAAACTAACCTCTGTAAATGTGCAGTGTCGCTTATGCACTTTTTTCAATGCTTCATTCATCTTTTTCAGATTTGATTCTGGCATAGTCTTTGCTTCTGTAGGAACTTAATCAGAAAGTGCATATGTACTGGGTTCACATCTCGTTGGATACTTTGTCTTATTAAATGTTAAAGAATTACTTTATCTCCAAGTTTTACCCAGTTTTGTAAAGCGCAAAAAGAAACTTATAATTATATAAAGGCGTGGGGTTATCAAACAAGATCTTAGCACGTAAAACTTTAAACTTAATATTTTATTGAATGTCAGGATGTTTCAAAACCATGATGCTAAAAAGTCGTTGATAACCAAGTACAAACACGTAGAAAAATTCGTGAGGTCCGCTGGTTCGTTCCGTGGCTTAGTTGGCATAGCGTCTGGCACGGTATGCTAGAAGACGTCGGTTCGAATCCGGCCGGATCAAGGATTTTTTTCTAAGTGTATTATTATTATATGTATTCTTTGTATTAATAATTATAACGTAAAACTTTTGTTTTGAAAATATTATAAGATACTTATTTTTTATGACATTAAGTGAAGGCATAAACAAGTCGTGTGTCTGGCAGCAAGAGACTCGTCTACCCATAACAGTTGCAGTGCCACACAGAGCTTTAAACCGCAAAGATCTGAGGGGTTGACAAGCCCCATGTGCCTATAATTTCACCAGCACCCTCGCCTTTCACAACCGGAACGCCGCCAAAATGCTTACTTGCAAAAATCGATGCGGTGGCAATACTTCCATAGATGAACTCTTTCACTAGGAACTCTACTGTTACTTTCAATAATACCTCATCTTAACGGACAGATATATTGTTAACGTATTAATAAATTGCAGGAAAAGACTACGACGGGGAATGGGATGGCTGGTTTGGACCGGATGGTTATGAGGGAGCGTACAACAAAGATTTAGTATACGACAGTCCGGCTGGGAAAGCAATATCCGACCTTAAACTTATGCCACCTAAAGACTATATTGATGAACTTAGGTAAATTTATTTCCATTTTTTATGATTATAGCAATGTAAATAACTTTTGGCCTTTCCTAACAAATTGTAATAAAGCTTTAATTAAAGATTTTATAGTATTAAAACATTTATTGCAAGTAACTAGGTATGGACTCATATGTGTTAGTAGATACAGAAATGTGAACTTATTTTAAGGCCAATAAAGATTAAAATTGAATCATACGTTTGCGTTTGTTGTGGCCTATATGCGCATCTAATTAACTTTAATTACACTTTCAACTTTTCGTGGATATTGTCGCGAATGGCTACATACACAGCAGGCTCATGCGCTTGCAATGGATTGATACTGATAGGGTTAATTATTCGAAGTTTCCATGTTCTAAAATAAAATATCTTAATAACAATATGTACTTTAAGTGCCAATGTCCTAAAATAAACATTTAATTACAATACTTTAACAAGGTCATGGCAGAATAACAGAGGTCGTGGTTCGCCGTGACTTTCGAGTCATAAACCATTTTATCTTGTTAATTAGCACTGTCTTCGATTTTATTATAAAATGTATCGCTGTTTTCAAGGCAAATAAATGAGTTTATTATTATTATATAGGTCATAACAATCCCTAAGGGACCGCCCTTTACATATTTGCGCGCATATAGGCCACAACAATGCCTCAGGGCTGTCGTCCCTGTTCCCTATGACACGGAGACTTCTTGCCCACAGTCAGTGGCGTCAAGTCAGTCCAAGCGTTCTAGACTCTGTTGATATACTCTCACCAGTCACCACAGACTGCAAGTATATCGTCGGTGTTTTCTAAAAAAAAGGCGTGAGCGACTTACTACGTAGTACGTACTTATTACCTGCGTAGATTTTTCAGGGGAGCATGTTTTAGGTTTTAAAACATTAACGTCCAGTTTTAAAATCCAATTTTGGTTTTAATTAAGTTTAAGTTTTCAAATTGAATTTCAAAACAGGACTTGAATATTAAAAAAGGTTTAGTTTTTAAATCTAAAACATCTACGAAATGTCGCTTACGCCCTTTCTATAAAACACAAACGATATGGAGGTACTTGAACCTCCTTGCAAATCTGTGTGTAATCATATTTAGCTCTAACCGACAGAGCCCTATGTTCCATTTCAATATCATTGTTGTCTTTGAGATCAGGCCTAATTATATGCCCCAGATACCTGAAGTGATTTACCTTCTGAAGATCGACATCACTAAGTAAGTTAAGGTAACTTCGAGTCGTATTATTATGGTATGGTGTGACAGGCTGGTGTCCGTAACTCGCCTATTTTACGTATGTCTTTGAACTTTGAGTCACTGAATTAAAAAATAATTTAATGTTTCGAACTTTCATAAAGCTTTTACCTGGTTACTTGCTAAGTTTTTATTCGTAACATATGTTCTTAAGTGTCTAAAGATAGGTACATACTTGACTAGAAGTTGAGGTGTTCCACAAGGGATTACGTTGAAATCATCACTCTTTTAAATTTAAAAAATTTCTGTTTTAGGAAAACAGCTCAAGTGACTTGCGGTAATCAATCAGTTCTAGTCTGTGACGCGAAAGCGAAACCTTGTCTTTTCGACTTGTCACAGGATCCTTGTGAACGTCAGAATTTAGCTTCAGAGTAAGTTTCAACGTTTCTACTTCCTTTAATTAACCCGCATTCGAAGCGCGCAAAATTTGACAGCGTTCGGCTTCTGTCGGCGCTGGCCGAACGTCACCGCCATCTTGAACCGCAAGATGGCGGAACCGTTCGATCGCGTCCATAAATCGCACTCTGAGAATGACAGTGACACAATAGGAAATGAAACAATTTTTCCGGATTTAAATCGCGTATATTTGTTTTTTTAAACAAATTAAGTTTCGGGCCCTTTACAAGTCTCATGATCCCGGTTGACTGATTGACTGACAATGCAAAATTTTTGATTTTGAGTATGAACAATTAAAATTCTGAAACTTGTAATAACAGCAATTTCTTAGTCAACGACGATTTTTGCATGCGGTTTTCAGCTAAAATAAAAAGTAACCTACACAGTTTTAGAAGTATTATACAAACTATCATCTACCACAATGAAATAAAGATATTTTTGAGAATTTCGTTTATCGTATCACTATTCCTCATAATCTTTTCATGTAAATTAACATTTCTTATTATGCAATATCGTCACAAACGATTCATAAAAACAAATTATGGCAAAAAATTAAATTTTAAACGACTCTATCCAAAAAATTACGATATCCTTCACGGAGTAAATTGTTTCACAACTCAGCGATCTCTGTCACTACAAAAAAATGTCAGTATCGCGCTGTCTCCTAGGCGCCATTCCCCTTATACACCGTAACATCATTACGTCATTTAGCAAATTCTAGGCAAACAACGTACACGGGGGTTTTTGCATTATAAAGTTCGTACTCTCAAATCCAAGATGGCGTTAAAAATTATAAAAAATAATTGTTTTTTGTATATTGACGTCATCACTCTCAGTGTGCAAAAAAAAAATGGTATCGCATCATACGCCCTATGTCGTTCTTTATACATTCACTTCTGTTACCTAACAATGTTTAATCACATAACGATCTGTCTCGGTATAAGTACCTAATAATAATAATAATAACGCACACACTCAACATCGCATATACACTTTCAACATATTGGGACTATACACTACTAAAGAACTCTGACAAGCCAAGAATTTTTTTGTATATCCCAATTACTCTTTAATAATTTTGGTTATTTTTTTCACCAGGCAACCAGAAATGCTAAAAAAACTATGGGTGGAGTTTTTAAAAGCGAATGCGACGGCAAAACTACCCAGTAACTTACCAATGGATCCACGCGGGAATCCTAAATACTGGGGACGAATGTACGTGAATTTTGGAGATTTCGAAAGACTAAGCTAGGAGGATTCTTGAATGTTTACTCAGCAAATAGTAACACCATAACAAAGACATTTTTTTATTAATTAAATAAAAAAAACATAAACACTTTAAAAGAAGTTGGTCTTCTTCTAACTGCCAAATTATACTATATAGTTATACTCATGAACTCACAAGTTGTGTAATTGTGGTAAATATTATTACTTAAGAATTAAATAAATCATTTAAGTTCAAAAACTTATTTTGTATTTGAATTTTCTGCAGATTTGCGGTTGCTCCTCGCTTTTTTAGTTTGAACTCCAGCTTTTCCATTCTTTTTACCTTCAGCCTTTCTTTTCGTAGCCTTAGTTTCAAACTCTTTTAAGGATTCCTGAGAATTCACGAACGGCAAATCGTCTAACTTCTCCATGACTAAAGCTTCTCGGTATTGTTTTAAAGTAGGATCTTCAGCATTGTTGTTATTAACGTCGGGGTCAATAACCCGACTAATATTGGAGGCGCTGTGGAGACTGACTTTTTCCAAAGGACTAAGTACATCGCCTACCGGGTCGGATGGTTCTTGGGAAGCGAACGTTTCTTCTACAAGGCGATTGACAATGTCCTCGTCATCGATACGGATATATTCCTTCATCACCACTTTAAGTCGGTTGTGGTGAATTTTTATCGGTGTCGCTACTCTGAAATTTAATGACATACTCGCTTATACTATATACGGAACTGGGAAGTTGTTAAAAAAATGTGCTCGCCAATTGGACGTAGTTAAACAAAAAGGACCCAATCCACATTCACTCACTTTCGAAATATGGCAGTTTGAAGTTTAAAAGTGTTTCTCACTCTTGTTTTACTTTCAAAACTTATAATGCCATGTAACTGCAGAGATGTTTACTTATGCTGATTTTTTTTGCTGATCTAAGAGGTTAGACTTTAGGAACCGTTTGGTACATACATTGACTTACAAATAAATGGACGACGGGTCTAATACAAAAACCACGAAAAAAATGTCCCAAGTCAACCTATTTAAACGTAGTGACATGTAAAGGAATATGAAAAAGCTAAAACGTTGAATTTAAATTGTAATGTCATCGCAGTACTGTCTAATTTTGCTTGCTTCGCTGTCAGTCGAACAAACGAAGACTAAAGCGTGAATGACGCTCTGTATACGATTTTAACGCCCTATAAGTTCGGACACTTTTTAGCGCGGACCCGACGTCCATATAATTGTAAGTCAATGGGTACATATAAAATATTTTTGATAATTTTGTGAATTGGATCCTGTTTGCTTAATTACGTCAATTGTGCCATTTAATCGATAAGAGGAGTTCAAGAAGACTGTAACATCCTGGAACCCCAAAGTATAACTGTAGGAAATAAACGCGAAAGGCGCTGTCTGCTTACTCCGCCCGAGGTTCTTGCCGCAGGACGCCTTGGCCGTGCAGCACCTTGAGCAGTTTGCCGGCGTTGGCGGCGTTGAGGCCGAGGAGGCGGCTCAGCTCGCGCGCGGACATGTCTTCTGCGCGGGCGCACAAGGCCAATGCGCGCCGAAAAATGGCGTAGCACTGCAACACGTACGCGAGTTGGTGTAGCTTCATGTTTCGACAACATGATCGGACCTTTTAGTTCTGGTCCTATTTTGTGAGTACGTAAGGTGTACCCCTTGGACAGAGTCACCTCGATACGTCGGAAAATTATCATCCTAGTATATTAAATATGACAACCAGCTGAAGTATGATTGGGCCCCCTTGTTCTGGCCTTATAGGACTATTGATAGGACTATGATATTGACATCTTGGCTATGCAAGATGTCAATATCATCACTGGACTTCGGAAAATTATCATCATTTATTGTAAATATTACGACAACCAGCTGACACGAACTTGGACCTTTTTATCGCGACCCTATACAATTTAGTTAGATGTACCCCCTGGACATATCAATTCTGGACATAGGAAAAGGACCATGCAAAATATGCCTAACCTAACCATTCATGACGATGGCGTCCTTTTTTACGTTAATTAGTATTTCCTATATCTATGGTTCGTATATGATTCATAATCGTAGTGATTCTATTCTTTTCTATTCACGATAAAGTTTCGCTTACTCTGCATCGCTGTATGCTATTTAGGACCAATAACTGGACTGCTAATCTCCATACTACAAGATCGTAACTCTGATAAAGGTAAAAATTCCATCTTATATCGAAATAGCACTGATCAATGGCCTGGAAATAGTTTATATTACGTAAATGGGCGTGGATATCAGTTAATTCCTCTTTTATGTGAAATTGATGTAGTCAGTTCTTTTCTCTTGTAATATTATTCAAATATTGACCTTGAGCTAAAATTATTTTCTGAAATATGCGTGTCAATAGATGACAATTTATAACGCTTCCTATTATGGGTATATAGCGGTAATTCTGAACAAAATAAAAGAACAGTCGGCACTATCCATAAAAATCTTTGCAATAAGCGCCATGTTGTTGATTTGTTTGTTATGCACTAAAAATTAGAGTAGATACATTGACTTACAAATAAATGGACGACGGGTCTAATACAAAAACCACGAAAAAAATGTCCCAAGTCAACCTATTCGAAATTTAAATTGTAATGTCATCGCAGTATCGCGCTGTCAGTCGAACAAATGAAGACTAAAGCGGAGTGTGGCGCTCTGTATACGATTTTAGCGCCTTACAAGTGCGGACACTTTTTAGCGCGGACCCGACGTCCATATAATTGTAAGTCAATGAGTAGATATGATAAATTGCAGCTTGTCAATGTAAAACAAGTTAGTTAAATATTCTTATTGGGTATTTTTTTGCGACATCTGCCCCCGTAGCATGGCTACGCATGTTAGTCACGACGAGTGTCTCAATCAGATCTAATTTAGATAGCCAATAGCGCGCGCTTATTTCAATTTTTCGCGCGCGTCGCGACTGTCATGCGTAGCCATGCTACGGGGGCTGGTGTAATAGGTACTAAATAACCTATTACGCTATCTTGTATATATCGCGATTAGCACCAATGTCTTGAGGCATGGGTCCATGATGCCATGTTCGAAATTGTAGTATTCTGTATTACAATTTCGAACTGTAGTACCGGCACGCTATGATGGCCGTCTTGCCGTTTGTCCGCTCATCAAGTTTCGTATTAATTCATAACTACGTTGGAGGAGCGAATTGATGTACAATGTTGTCAATAGTGACGTGCAGTAAAATTTATGGATGTATAATTTTACGACACAAAACGGCGTTTGTTTTTCGAAATTCGGAATTTTTAAAAAATGAAATCTAATACGATCGTCACTTATGGGATCGCTGTCCAGCACAACTTCTACCTCCGGCAAACTCGCGTCAAAGCTCAATGCAAAACAAAGCAGTTTCGAATTGATTAAAACTTTTTAATCAGCTACCCATGGCAATACTAGTTATAAATCTAAAATGTTATAGATGCGACTCGCATTTGATTATATTTTTTTCGATAATAAATTGAGATTTCACCTCACTGTTGTAATCTGTCAAAACGGCCATCATAGTCCCGATGCTGTAGTGTTCCCAAATACTTACTTACTCTTTGTTGTAGTGCATGTAAAGGCACCGGGGCGGCGGTCTATAACCGGCTGCCAAATAAAGTGAGAAGTGCATCAACAGGAATTCATTCATATTTCTTCTGAAAACGTGGTTTGTTGAGCAATCACTCTACACGTTTGATTATAGTACTATGTGATGGTATTAAATTAATTTGTTGTTAGTAATTTGACGTGATTGTAATGTAAGTAATTGATAATATTTTAATTTTTTTATTATTGTTTTTGTATAACTTATTTTTATTATTTAATGAATTATTATTAGCATTTAATTATCGTATTAATTATTTCTTGTGAATCAATTTAGTTATTCGTTATTGTTAAATTTTTGTGACTTGTAACTTTTTTGACTATTACTATCTGAGTCAGTGGACAAAATAATAAGTTCCTAGATTTCCACGATTGTTATACACGCTATCCACTATAAATGGTGGAATATAATTTTTCAAAACAAACCAGTTTCGTTTCATCTGAGAAGAATGAACAACAAACTCTAGGGGCTGCTCTTTGTAATCATGCATTTATCATTACAATATTTAATTTAAACTTCAAGAATAACTGATATAGATTTAGAATACCTGAAAGAGTCAAACGTGTCACTACCATGGATTTTTGTCATCCAAGTACGCAATAACCTTTAGTATAAAGTTTTTGTTTCACTATAGTTTTAAACCTCGTAAATGGCAAATTTTGAATATCAATCGGAATCTTATCATAGAAGCGTACGCATTTCCCCTTGAATGAATTTCAGAATGTATGAAGACGACTGTCAGGAACAGCTAGTTTATTTGTATTCCTCGTATTAATATTTTCGATTCGTACAGTTGGTGTCTTATCAGAAATACTTACCGCTTTATTCTGTGCTGTAGCTAGGCTGGCGTCAGTCGGTTGCCTGGAAGCATCAGCTGCGGCGCAGTCCACGCAGCAGTGCCGCGAGATTCGCGTGGCAACAGTTCCAGCCAATCCGTAGCAGACTGCGTGTTGCTGAGTTTTACAGTATCTGCGATATGTAGCACAGTGTTGCTACCTTTGCTTTCTTATAATTATGATATTAAACACGCATAATCATAGGAGTTTGTGTCCTTGGTATAATAAAGCCATATGTACGTCAAAAGTGCTTTTGGGTAATTTTCAGGTAAGTTTTTTGTACTCAATTTTGGTGACAATTTCTTTTTATTTAAATATTTATAGAATGTCATCATGAAGTATCATTTTATATTGGACTGTGGTAACCTGAAATATTATTTAATATTTCACGATTCGAGTAATTAAACAATGAAAATTGTCACCAAAATTGAGTACAAAAAACTTACCTGAAAATGACTGTTTTGTCACATGAAAAATATAAAAATAATTCGAAGTAGATATACATGAAACAAATTACATGTAGATCAACAATACATGAGAAATCGATACCTCACTTTCTCAAAGTCGTATATTATAAAGAGTTATCTAATTCATGAAATGGCAAAACTTTCTATGTATTTTCAATTTCTTACCAAGGGTGTTAATTTGAATCCATTTTTATTAAAACATAAATTTAACGAGCCTTACCGTGTAATTTAACGGTAATGTCACTCCGTAATGCTATTTATTTTATATACCTAACCTAGATCAAGACTATCTAAATATATTTTGTACAGTATCCTAGCTTCGTTCGGCGAAGGAACAGCCAGAATACTGTTACACCAGGCAGTCTGTCGTATGTTGGCCACACTGCCCAATTGTCTCCTGAGTCTCTCGGTCCTCGGAACATTCCATCAAAACGTGGTAAACATCTTCAATGACACCGTAATTGCTACAATACGGAGTTGGCGTAATGCCCACCAAAAAGATTTAGATGCATTACTTTAAGAACAGGTAAAAGCCTGTTCGTTTGTGAATATGAAAGAAATGTGATGTGAAACCTGCGTCCATTTTTTGCATTTCAGTAACTTTGTGTGTTAAAATACGAGTTTGAGAAACTAAGCCGACGAAATGTTAAAACTCTCCTATTTAAGTTTAAAAATGGCTGGTTGTACTAACGGCAGCCATCTTGCACTTTTATAACCTATGTTCTTATCCCTTAAGTAAGGTTGCGTGATGTGATATGCAGTCGAGGTTTCGGATAACGACTTCACGCAAACCGAGATCGACTGCATGCAGTTAATGAATGACGTCGTTATCAACTTCACGCAGTTGTGACACGTTAACAACTTCTCGGCTGCATGAAGTTGATTACGACTTACAACGCATCCGCCTGATTCCAATTTCAACTGAATGGATTTGACATTTTTGGAAAGATTGACCTGCCGTTGACTGTACCTACATAAAAAACAACAAAAATCTAAAAAAACTGCAAGGCGCAAGGGTCTCGCAGACTCAGTATTGTTCTGACGTAATTCTTGCAGGGTCGGTCTTGATCTTGGTCACAGACGTCTTGGTGCTGCATTATTGCAAGACCAACACTGATTTTGGGCAACTCTAGCAACTCTAAACGCTGTCCGCTGATAATGAGGATGTCATAGTTGTACTAACTGGCAAGTGAGCATATGGTCATCGTAGTCAATGCATTTGCACGAGCAGCAGACGCGGGCTGTTGATGATGATCGATCGGAACCCAGTTCTTCATCCGCGGCCTGCGTCAATATTGGTGGGTTTTGGGATGGCTGCAACAGATTACGTTACATCTCCTGCTTTAGAAAGGCTTGTGTGCAAAAGTGGACTACATCAAATTTACAAACAATGCGTCTTTTGTTTACCGAAAGTATTATGCAACATTATCGATTAAGCATTCATATAAAATTAATTAATAATTTTGAAGATGTTTACGAAAGTTAGCTTAAAAATCATTTTCACAAGGTCCCACACGTCACTTTGTTATGACCCATAAGTCGCGTAAGTATATTTGTCATAATTATTAATGCAAAGATCGAATTTGATCCGGCTGGATTCGAACCAACGTCTTCTAGCAAACCGTGCCAAACGCTATGCAAAACTAAACCAAGGACCGAACCAGCGGCAGCAGACCTTACGAACTTATTTACGTGCTTGTTACAGATCTTTGTTTTGGTTTTTTAACTACTTTTTTGTCATAGCGCCATCTGTTAGTTGTGCCGCATAGCGACCGAAAAATTTTTTTTTTTTAAATATGTAATACACCTGATTTTAAGTGACGATGTGACCGACGACGGGACACGTTTGCCTAAAAAATGCCTATTCACTCTAGCCTTGAATAGCTCCAAATTGTACTTTTCGGGAAATACGGATTCTAAGAGCTTCGCTGCGATCTTTGTATTAATAATTATAAGAAACTAATGGAGTAATTTCACAAAAAAAAAATTGAATATCATGGTGGTGAAACATCCCGCATTCAACAAACTTAATTATATTTGTTTTTTTTTCGAAGAAACCAAAGTTTCAGACCTTTTATAGGTTCAATATTCGTGGCTTACTGTAAACTGTTAATATTACCGAGTATAAGCTGACAAGGGACCTGTGAAGGGCTCAAAATGTTGTTGGTTTGTTTGAAAAATAAAAACCTATACGCGATACTTACTTAACTAAATGTAAATAATCTTGACACATCTTTATATTGAAACATGCTTTACAAATCAATAGGTATAAAATAGGCATGCAATTTCATATGAAGGTAAGCATTTGTATTTTGTATTTGAAGGTTAAGTAAAAATCATTTTATAAATGTTTATTTCATTAAGTAGACATCTCAAGATTGTTTACATTTAGTTAAGTACCAAAACAAATATTGTTCACTTTGTATTGAATTGATATTCAATTATTTTTTGTCAAATTACTCCACTAGTTTAGTATAATTATTAACACAAAGATCGAAAACTTGGAAAAAGTTCCTTCGATTCGGATGGATTTGAACTGAAGTCTTCTAGCAAACCGTGCCAGACGCTATGCTAATTAAGCCACGGAACGAACCAGCGGACCTCACGAATTTTTCTATGTGCTAGTTGTTGGATCTTTGCATTTGGTTTTCGACGACTTTTTATATAAATTGTTGTGTTAAGCCGACCCCGGTAAGATTGCTGTATCCACTGGCTGTCGTAGCGCCGCCTGAAACCGCAGAGCTGTGGCGGCCTCTTGCGAAAAAGCTAAATTGGCTAGCGACACTCGGCACTTGACGCACGATCACTTCACAGTGCAATAGAGACTGAGGAGCCGGAGAAGTTTCGTCAAATGTGTTGATCCTCATGAGTCAGCTCAGACGACGCGCAAGCTTTGGCGCGAAAGAGTACCATCTACCTTTGTCGCCTTCTGAAAGTCTTTCTCCTGGACACGAATTGCCATGGCCGATCTGGAAGTCTTTATATAGACTTCGGACTCAGGTTGGTCGAAGTAAAGACAGAACGGAATAAAATAGACGCTTTCGAGGTGTGTTGTGTTGTGTGTTGGGGGAGGATGCTCCGTATATGGATCGCTAGGACAAACCAATCCATAAATGAGCAGCTTCATATAGCATACAGACTATCCAGAATATGCTACCAGAGAATCTTATAGTATTTTTGTCATATTGCTCGCCGACAATCAGATAACCAGACACCCTTGACTGGTTGTGGTGGGTAAGTTGGAGGGAAAGAAACTTCGAGGTCGATCACCTAGCCGATGGAGTGACCAATTAATAATAATAATAAGTATTTATTACGGACAACAGGGATCTATGAAGTGTTAGTAACAAAAATAGCTTATAATTAGGTTAGTACTTAAATTCTACTACGGATTTTGTGGTTGTTATTAAGTGCCGCATCACGGGGCACTCACTTCTATCCGTGATAGTCTTCAATAGGCCGTTGCTACTGCCACGTATTCTGTTTAATAAAGGATTTAATAAATACCGTGGCAGCCGCAGCAGCGTCCTGAAGGCGTTATTATATTACCTACGCAGGGCTCTGAGCGAGTATAGCTGGCCCACAGACCCGTGTAGTGGTTTTGACCGCTTTTTTGACCGCCCTCACTGGCCTCCCTATGACAACTGCCTTGAGAGAGGCCGAAGACAGAACCAGATGGAAGAAAATCATCTATGAAGTCTCGAGAAGAAGAAGAAGTAATACTCGATCAAATTAAAAAACGCATGATGCGAATGAATCTTCATACTTCACATTATATTTTAACTTGGTTGAGTATAACGGCGCGTGTACACGCTAACAAATTTGACGTGTCTGCCACAGAAAAGTTGAGAATGGTCTTGTACACGACAAGAACTTTGTCGGATCTAGCCACAAAAATATGTCATGCCTGTTGCAGACAAGAAAATGATGAGTATGTACACGATACGAATGCTTTCGGGCAGATGTGTGTAGGGTAAACGTGTCAGTGCTTTAACGAGTCTACTAATCAATTTTTCCTCTGATATAGATGCATTACTATGGCAAGATAAATACGCATAAATCATATACTACCGAAGTATTTACCTAATAATAATTTTAAGAAATGTTTACTGAAAATTAATGTGTATTTATCATATTCATTTTTTTCTGTATTTATCATTTCTTAAAAATCTTCCTTATGTATAATAAATATTTCTCTACATGCCACAAAAGTACGTCGTTAGTCTTTATAAATCTCTAAGGTTTTGTCCCTCAATACGGGTCGTTCTTTTACTAAACTTATAAGTAAATCATGCATTTTATTAGTTGCGATAAAATTAGTGGTGTAACAGTGGTACTTTGCAACACCAGTCCATGCGCATAAACGTTCATTTACTGACAATATAACCCTTACAAAGTACATTTACAATAGCGGCAGAGCGCGTCGTGTCGGGGACAGGCACAATTTTTTTCTTGTCCGGCGCAGACGCAGTATACACAGTTTGTGTGTAGAAACGACACGAATTCTTGCACAGACCCGGCGACTTTTCTTAGCGAGGACACACGTCCTAATTGTTTCGGACAGAGAACGAGACTACCTAGACTCCTTGGACTGTTTGTACGATGCGATTCAAAGTATTACTAATGAAGCAGTCGGCGTAGCTGAGCTCTGGGTCACAATAGTACAGTGTATGCCATCGATACAAGAAGGTGTAGGTTATTTGAGAATTTCCGAGCTGGATATATAGACACTGGTGATGATGGGGTTGGTTTACTGTTTCTAATTGGAGCTGTAGCAAAACGTAGTCAAAACAAGTAATTATAGAAGCAACTTACAATAACTTCACAACTGGCTTCAATCTTTTCCTTATTATACGTGCGAGCAGACAAAGCGTGGAATGGGGTTTGCACCCAACCAAATTTGACGGTCTGGTCGAAGGTCGTGCCAATCGGGTCGTCTGATTGACGTGCCGCTACGAAGCCTGGCGCTTGGTAGCCTTCTGGGGCGTCTACAATGTAAGTTAGTATATGAACATCCCATTTCTGGAAACCCTTTAGAATACACTTATTATTATGGTTTGTTTGAATAAAGAGTTAAGGTACTGTCGAACTAGTTAATTGATAGGTCATTTTCAGAGCATTCAAAATATGTTTACATCTAAAATCATATTAGTAGCAGTAGAGCTCCTTGTGAAAGAGTTCCTCCAAGGAAGTATTGCCACCTTACCTATTTCTGTAATGTGAGCATTACTGCGTTCCGGATTTCAAGGTAAGGGTGCTGGGTGAAGTCACAGATAGGATACATGGGACTTGTCAACTTATGTCTCAGGGTGACAGGCGTAGTGTCAGTGCCCTTCAGATCTTTGCGATTTAAAGCTCTGAGTGACATTGCAACTATTACAGATAGGCGTGTAGCTTCCCACCTGCCAAACGACTTGCTCGTCCCGTATTTTGTAACGAAATTGTTAATAGCGTAATAAACTTTATATTAATAAAAAAACCGACCTCAAATGCATTCATCCCCTAGTTTGCCACCCTTAGAGGTGGAATATTTTCTTCAAATTTAAATAGGACCATTACTGAGGTACCTCTTTCCAACAAAAAAAGAATTATGAAAATCGGTTCATAAAGTTATTGCGTAACCTACATACAAAACAAACTTACAGCCGAATTGACACTCCTCCTTTTTTTGAAGTCGGTTAATAAAATTGTGTAACGTACAAACTAAATACGATAGCTGTAGCATTATACTATGGTTACACACACAAGTGAGTAAACTAGGATAGTACGTTTTGTAAATACGCAACACTTGCTTAGCTCACGATTTTCGTTTTGTCAAAGTTAAAGTTCGAAAGTTATTCTGTATCGCGTTGTATCAAAAAAATCACCTTGCATACACTTCCATACCTTCGTTATAGTAAAGCCGTAGGCTAATGTGATAGGTTTCAGGCAACTGCTGGTTGTTCATGGACATCATGACCATACAAGTTCTCAACAAATGTATTGTTCGCTCCGTTATGTCGTTCATGGTGCATTTCAAGCCACCTTCCTGCCCTCGACTCTTAGAGCTGATGCTTAACGAGACGCCTTTTTCCATGTACTTGAATTCGAGGATATAGTACTCCATCAGGTTTTCCAATTGGCACTCGTTATCGTAGAAACACAGCGCCATTTGGTGAAGCTTTTTAAATGTAAATAAAAAATAAAAATAAATGTCGTGTGTGCATACAGAAAGCGTAGGTATTTGTATTAAGTGCATATAGAAAGCATATTTCGTCTGTTTAAAGGTAAAACTATAGAAGTGACATTTTCCACAAAAAATATCCAAATTATGTAACTGTAATTCATCATCTTTCTGCAGATAAAACTTTTATTAAGTTTATAGGTTTTTTGTTATTAAGCTTCACGTGCAGAAAGTGACATTCTTACCACAGCTATCTATACAGAGTGTAAATTTGAGACGGAGCAGCAAGGCCAGGAAGGAAAACGGTTCTAGAAGACTACCCATGAATTTTGAAGATATTTTGATTGGCATTCACAGATTTTGAAAAAATGGTACAGTCAGCAAGATAAAAGGCAATTTTTAAAAACTTTTTTTATGCCATTCATGTCACTTGATATTATAAAAAACAAAAAAAATGTTATATCAATAAAATCAAGTATTAAGGTAATGGGCCATTCCAGCGAAAATGACACTGTGGTTCAAAAAAATAAATTACATAATTTGGTTTTAATTGTATGACTAGAATAGGTACACCCAATAAATCAAATCATTACAAAGAAATGAAATTTTTCGGATATTGTACAATTATTGTATTTTTTTTTTGTCTTCATTACCGCAGCCATAGTGCTGTCGTAGTGAAGCATTTTTCCTATAATGTTAGCAACAATTTTCGCGGTTATTTGTGCGTCTTTCTAAATAAGTTATTACTGTCGAAGAAAATATAATTTACTAATTTTAAAACAGTGATAAGTGATGGCATGGAAGTATATATGGTGAGGAGTTAATAAAGTTTAAATAAGCACTAATTTCAAGTCCCACCCGTCACAATGAAACATATATATTTTTATTTTAACCAATAAATATGCAATCTAATGGCATTTATTTTGGCTTGGTTGGGCATTGCGCACGTAAATAGGAATGTAAATATTAAGATTTGAAAGTGTGTCCCAACTCTCACAGCGATGGGTGGGACACACTTCTAAAGGTTTTACTTTGAATATTTTTTTGTATTTTCATGAATTCGAGTTTTTACGATGTTTACTAGGTATAACAGTTACTTTAATTTCAGAGTTTAACATTTGAGGCGTTAAATTGTGACAGTTGGGACGCCATTTTGTGACAGGTGGGACAAGTTACATTTGAATATACAGAATTTAAAAAAATACACTGTTTATATGTAGATCCATCATTTGTAAGCAAACTTTTTATAATTCTTCTCATAATTACGACATTTTAACACATAAAACAAGACACAAAGTGACAACATTGTTCCTGATGATTTTTAGTATCAGGAAATTCATGGAAAGTCTGTCTCCACTAGTTTTAACTATATATTCTATATATAAAACTTCTAAAATTTGATATATTTTGATATGATACATTATCTTCAAGTATGCGGCAGGATTTTACAAATTTATTAACGCATTTTACATGCGTGACTTTGATTTCATGTCGTCATAGACAGTGTTTCAAGAAAAATAATATGAGTACTTTATCAGTTCTTTAATTCTGTTTTTTTTATGTTAAGATGTCTTAATAAGTTAAAAATTATAAAATATTTGCTTACTAAATCGTTAGGATCTCATATTAAACAGTGTAATTTTATTAATTCTGTGTATTCAATTGTAACTCGTCCCGCCCGTCACAAAATCATGTCCCACCCGTCACAACTTAACATATTAATTTCCTTAAAATTCATCGAAGTTATTAATTAAATGTATATATAAAATAGAACTTTAACAATCAAGTTATCTCATATGAAAAACTTGCTGAGCAAAATATTAATAGTTTGTGTTGATTTTGGCAATGAAGCCATTAACTCAAATAGGCGGGTGTCGTGAGTGTCCCACCCGTCACACTTATAAAATTAAAAGTTTTGAGTATAAATAACGTCGTAAATTTATGTAAATAAATAGTCGCAGTTGAATTGCATATCTGGCTTCATGATATTTTCATTTTAAGTCAAATTAACCAATGGTTAGGGAGGAATTACTTAAAGTTCAAGAAAAAAGGGGTCAAAATGTCCCACCCGTCACTTTGGAATGGCCCTAATGTAAAAGATTAAACTAGTTATATCCATAGGAATTATCCATGATAAACTAATAATATTTAAATTAGGAGGCCCTTTCAAAAAAGTGGGGCACCTATTCTGGTTTTACCCTAAGCCATACAAATATTTCGCTCGGCCCGGGAATCAAAACTGGGACCTCTGCGTTGCAGACTAGCATGGTGACCGTTCGGCCACGAAGGCAGTTAAATACTAGCAAAATCTAATCTAAACATAGCGACCTCGGTGGACCAATATTTGCTCGGTGGGAGCTGGGTGAGGAGGTCCTGGATTCGATTGGTGGGACCAATTTGAGAAATGAATTTTTCTAAATTGGTACTGGGCTGTGTTTTCTGGGTAGTGTCAAGGAGTGAATTCTCTGGTGCCCAGATTACAGGGAATTCCTTAGTTTGGGACCAGGTGTAGTTGTCTTGCACATTGTTATTATTATTATGTCGCTGCCTTTATACAATAACGCAGTATTGTAAAATATATGATTTTAGATTTTATCTAAACATACACAACAAACAAACAAAACTTTATCGTGAATAGCACCCGTCTTACGTACAATAATTAATGTTTACAATTTTAATTTGCAATACAGCGTTATTGAATAAAGGCAGCCATGTGACATTTTAAACTAAATAGGAAAGATAAATCGAAATACAATTTTAAATTGCAGAAGGTTCTAAAATCTCTCACTAGATGTCACTATCGGCGCAGAATGCTTACTCTGTACAAAAATTTTACTAAAAAACACATGAGAATTTCGACAACACGATAACTTGACCCGTAGCTCTGTTGGTAAGAGCAATACTACGCTGCAGTATGGTCATAGGTTCAAACCCCATCGGGTCGAAAAAATGTCTACGTGTTCAATTTTTTCATTGAATAATTGTAATAAAAAGAAGTGGCATTAACACACAAAAAATATGTCAATAATTAAATGCACATACGTTGTAAAAAAAATAAAGCGAGTATTGCTCTCCTAGATCAATGAAAGTAAGTAACATTTTTAAACTGGCAAATAAACTTACATATTTCTTGTCAAAAGCTTCAAAAGCGTGGGTCATAGTTGTAATGAGAAATTGTGCGAGATCGTCCGTGCATTTGTTTTTAAGAACCCTTATTCTCAGCCCTCCGAATTGATCCTCCGTGTAATTGTCCTCAGGAAATGCGTTTTTCAGATACGTAATGGTGCTAAAAGCGATAACAGCCAGTTGTTTCATAAACGTCGCAGAGCTTGTGTAACTTTCTGTCACGTGCCGTGGAAACACCCTCGTCCATTCGGCCAAAGCCTGAATATAATTGAAAGTATATAGATTCTGTAACTGTAACGTTATTTAGCAGTAATGAGACAAACTATATATTACCTGAGAAGTACGAACTGCTGTTGCCGTCATTTTTGCTATTTTTCATAAAATTTTAAAACTTTTTACGGATTACCGCCAACATGCCACACTTCGCGCAAGCGTAATAGACATGTGAATGTTTGTTTTCTTTAAACGATTCAATTTACTTAGGTAAATGATTTATTCAGTCTCTTTGCTACCTGGTTGCAAATTAAAAATTTAAAAATTCTTATTTCAAAATGTTGACGTACGTAGAACAAATGAAATGGCACATTGTGCTTAAATGACAAATAAATGTTTAAAAATAATTTTGAGACTTTTATGTGAAAAGTTCTGAGGAATTTTGATTTAAACCGAAATGTTATGTCCTGATAGCCCTGAAGGCCAAGTAGTGCAGCAACAGCAAACTAGTGAAGAGATTAAAGAACAGGAAAAAGTAAAGAACAAGAAAACTAAGAAAGTACCAACAGAAGGATCTGGTACCTTGGAACTCAATTCCTATAAAAGTCCAAAAACTTGGAGAAAATCTATTACTAATTTCTTTCGAAATCAAACACGTTCTACTAGATCTAATGAAGTTAGTATGATTTAAGTATTAACTTTTTAATTTTTATAAATGCCCTCTCGTAGTTAAGGTATTGGTAGATTATGTAGATCATAAATATTTTTTATACTAGAACTCCAGATTTCTAGTTGGAGCACATAAAACAAATAAAGATCTAATCTATATTTTTGTTCCAGGGAGACAGACCAACTGGTAGCAAAGAAAAATTTGAAGAGAAGGATATAAATCCCGAACAAAAGTGGCAGTCCTTAGGAAAAATGTTTAGACGCCAAAGCTTAGTTGAACATTGGAACAAGTCCGCAAATCAAGGCGAGTGTTCTGCACCTAACAAACGACTTGCTGTAAAAAAAGTGATATCTAATTACTTTGGTAATAAAAACTAAGTATATTGGCTTTTTAAATGAAAAATTGTGCGTTACGTCTACAATAAATTTTTTACTATATGCTATAGTTTCCTTGTTATCAATTTATGAAGTTGTGTGCTTAAAAAAAAGGGCTTTTCGCAAATTTAACCATCGAGTAAAAGAACGAGCGAAAAGAAAACTCCACAGTAGTCTGCGTAAAACGAAACTTTAAAACGTCGAAATGTGACAGATAAAAAAGTTGCGCGAGTGACATTTCCGCAAGCAGGTACCGAGGAGCGATATTAATTTTCAGCTTTTTGTGCTAAATAATTTTATTTTTACAGTTTTAAACTAATATTTTTAATGCATTATTACGTTAAGTTATCGTCTGTGCTGTCAAATTCGACAATTACTTCATGCGCACCAGTGTATGGGTGAATACGCCCTTGAAAACCGTGCTACAAAAAATCTAAAGTCAGCATAGCAACAACATTTCGAACCATAAAATTCCTATTGTAAGGAATACTGAGTACTCTTTACTGCACGGATGCCTTTATGAGGTGAGTGTGATAATAAATTGAGAATAAAATTCCTATATAATGTGCCTTGTTGATCGGAGAAACTTCTTTTGTACATTTGTATATAGATCATACTTGTACAGCTATGTGTAGGTATGTACAGTAGCAAGAGTGTACATTGTAAAACTAGAGTGGAGTATTTACCTGCAGCTGTTGTTAAATTACTTATTGCCAGCATGTAGCTGGTTATAACATTTTGTCATAGGATAATCATACTTATTTGTACAGAACACTTTCTATGTGTGTCGTAACTGTACTATATCAACCCATATATGACCCACAGCAGGGTATGGGTCTCTTCAAAAAAAGAAGTGAAATTATTAGTCTAATAACATTGCCAAAATTCTGGTTGTTTACATTCCATTGATTTGTTCAACATCATCACAGTGGTCACTTTGCAACAATAAGTAATAAAAAGTCTATGTGCATTGTAACTTAAGACTATGTTTATTTTTTAATGTCAATGTGCGAAATGTTACATATTAATAAAAGTTTCTACTGAAACTAAGTTCCTTCATGTTATGCTGCTGCCTTAATGTTGGCGTGTTTGATCAATATTAATTGACTGCACTCTTCGAAACTGTTAATCAACATTAACAGACTGCATTCTTTGAAAGTGACACTGGCCCATGCATAGTGGCCGCTATTAAGGAAATAACAATAACTAGCCTGTGCCTGTGACTTTGTCTGCGTGGAATAAGTACTTTCAGGAGCGTAGGCTGCTAAGAGCAGTAGTGCTTTATACTAATTTTCATAGTCTTATCGTTTCTCCATACAAACTTTCATCCCCTATTTCGCCACTTTAACATTTATTTTTGTGACAAAAACTCGTTTATGTCCTTCTCCTAGGTCCCATCTATCTCTATACTACAATTGGTTCAGCAGTTTCGGTGTGAAAACACAACAAACAGAACAAGTGACTTTTGCATTTATAAAATTAGTTTGAATAATGTGTCAGACAACTACACCTGGTCTCTAACTAATTTAAAAAAAAAAAACAGTTAATTCCCTGTATTATAGGTAGTATAGTAATAAAGTGAACTACCCAGATCAGGTCAAATAAGAAAATTGTTATTATATTGAAAATTAGTCCAAACTACAAACAAAACTCGGACTTCTCTATGTGATGTTGAACTAAAGGTGATGTTAAACTAAAATCATCAAATCGTATGCAATGTGACAGCAAACCACAAAATTTCCCACCAAAAACAATTGCAGTCAGGGTATATCTTCAAGCTACATCTCTAGAGTAGCAGTCTAACAGTGCACATAGAATGTCCCAAAAACTTTGTATACAAGTTTTTATGGCAATTATATATTCTGGTAAGGAACACATACTTCTCGTCATATTTTGCAAAATCAAGGTCTATGTTTGTTTAGCATTATATAGAATACATTAAACTGTTATAATTTGAAATAGAAACAAATTTTTCTAAACTAAATTTCCGTATGTTTATTTTATGAAACAAACAACGTTTACAGGTCTGCTTAATTTGTTAAATTTCAGTTGCACTTTATTCTTTCTTCTACTGTACATATGATGTACTAAAAAATAATTTTCGAATACATTAAGCATGTTTGTGCACTGCCTCCGATTCGTATTTGTTCCTAATCTGAGACTATACAAATCTAGAAAACTCGAACCCACTTCAGGTGTCACTACACCTAAAGATAAAATCATACTCCCCAGCGAATAATATGGTAATCAATAATTCTAAATTTTACACGAAAAATAGAAAACTATTTTTTGTGGATATCTCAGCTCGAGTGCATCGTACACAGCTAATTTTTTTTACCATTTATTTTCTTTTATGATATTTTTGTATTAGTTTTGGTAAATAAAGTTATTGATGAAAATAATATTACTGAAATTGCAGGCTAAAAGTATAGTATGCAACGTATCATTATCATATTATTCGCGTGTAAACCTAACAATTTCGTAGACAGTATTAATGCATTACCGTATTATTCATTGAAATATGGTGTCAAAAAAGGTAACATACTATGATATTACGACTTTATTCGGATGAAATCCAAGCTATAGTGTATACAGTAATAGTACATTACAGTAATATGCATTGATGTATGGTATGAAAAAGTGAATAGTAATGTAATTATGCGTTCTATATAAAAACAAAAATAACACACGAATATAATTGTTTTAATGTGTTTCTTATGTGAATAAAATGGTTATCATCACTTAAGGAAAAAATTTACGATTGCAAAATCTGCACTAACTTGTTATGGTATTATTCGTGTAAAAAGGGTGTTTAGACACTTAGGGAATAATGTTACTATGTTCATTATAATAATATTATTATATTATTTGCCAATGAACTTAATGTACTTTTATAAATATCCATCTCTAAACACCGGATATGCAATAAAACGAAAACTACCGTAGCAGCATATTACCATATTATTCCATGGGAAGGGCGAAATGATCCCTGTGTCATTTCAGACTGTCATTTCTCGGATTTGAAACTGATATGAATTGGATGTCGTGCGCAAATGCTCGAAGCTAGCGCATTCAGTTTTATCATTTACCTGAAACTCTTTCAATGTTAAGTTTGGATACATTCCATTGTAAACATTGATTATAGTCTACAATTATATACTGTGGTTTGGGGAATTCTACATTGTGTTGTTGTGTAACATATGCGGCTTTATTGTGGCTGTAATTTCCTTAAACCTTAGGAAAATAGAATATTATTTCCTCATTCAACTAATTAGTATAATTACTATTATACTGTCACAAAACAGTAGCATTAGTGTGCCGAGCTTAAAAGTACTTTATTGAAGTAAATTTTGTTGTAAACATTACATGAAGGCTTTCTAGTGTTTTGTAATTGAAAAGTAACAAGACTGTAGAAGCTCACTTGTGACACTCAGCAGCCTACGTATATATTGTGAGATTTTACAATTGTATCATCTTAAATATCAATTCACATTGATATCCTTTCATGGAACGGGATGTTGGCAAATGTTCGTATAAAATCATCATAGTGCGGCCCTCATTGTTGGTGTAACCTCGTCCTTTTCTCGCGATCCATAGGCGGCTCCCTGATCTCTGCTCACTTTGACTTTTATTTGGTTAATGGTTGCTATTTTCGGTCTTCTTTCTCTTTCTGTTCATCTTCGCCACAAGTATTACCTTTTTAAATTTGTCATTATGTAACTTTTAAAAATCATAACTAAAATACCCTTTCCTACCAACCAGTAGTCTGTAATGATCAAGACTCATATTCAGATAATAATAAGTTGATTAATTTCACATTTAAATTTCAAGGCTGTGCAACATAATTATAGTTTATATTATGAGCTTCCAATTCCTAAAACATCTTCAGAAATAAAAAATCTTGGTTAAGAGTTGAAGAAATTCCTTAACATACTCAAGTAGTATAGCATAATACCAATGAATAAAGAGAATTCATAGGAATATCCACAATCACATTATCAATGGCACATTTATAGGAGTCATGTCTATCAAAGCTTCTGTTGCAATGATCTTTCTGTGACAATTTGATAATAAATCGTCTTCAAGATTACAACAGTGACCTCATTGCATTTGTTTATTGCAAGTTCAACAATGAACTATTATTGACCGTGCATGTACATAGATGCAGATGACGAAAAATTATCAATACTTGAACTAGATATTTGAAGGTACTTTGACAACATGTAAATCTAAATCTTTTAACTAGCAGTCATGTATTTGTTGATAGAGTGATTAAATTGTTTATAATTTTTCTGAAAAATTTGTTGTTTTCATGAGGAACATTTCTTGGTATATTCAATTTGTTGTTCTAAGGTCACATGCAAAACATTCTTACTTATTCTTCTGAATATTTGTTTTTGTATTTTAATTTCATTTTGTATTTACTTTCAGATGATTGAAGAGAATGCACAGAGCTGTAAGGGTCGAGAAGGCAAGACATTAATCTAGATAGGTTTGTTAGTTTCTTAGTGGTGCTTTATCTTACTGTAAGATGTTTACGAGAAGATGGTTCCATCCCTCTCTAAGCGGCATGGAAGCCGAAAGACTCCTCATGGAGTTAGGGCGCGACGGGTCTTTCCTAGCGCGACCCAGCATGAGCAACAAAGGCGACTTCACACTGTCCGTGAGACGAGGCAATGAGGTCACCCATATCAAGATCCAGAACAATGGAGAATTCCTCGATCTTTATGGTGGCGAGAAGTTCGCAACGCTCTCCGAACTCGTTCTTTTCTACAAAGAAAATCAAGGTCAACTGCGAGAAAAGAACGGTAATGTCATCAAACTACAAACACCCCTCAATTGCGCCGATCCAACTAACGAACGCTGGTACCATGGACAACTGACGGCCAAGGAAGCTGAAAAAATGATGATGGAAAACGGAAAGAATGGCTCGTTCCTCGTACGTGAGTCTCAAAGACAACCTGGAGATTTCGTCTTGTCGGTGCGCACCCGAGATCGAGTAACGCACGTGATTATACGACGCAATGGTGACCATTACGATGTCGGAGGTGGGCAACAATTTAGTAATCTTCACGATCTCATACAACATTACCGCAGTTATCCAATGGTGGAAACGACAGGCGAAGTTTTAAGGCTTATTCAGCCGTTTAACGCCACCCGCATACAAGTCCGACATTTCCTGTCCAGAGTTAAACAGTTACAGAGTGAAAATGAAGGTCCTATTGAAAGCATGGCTTATAAGCAAGGCTTTTGGGAAGAATTTGAAACATTGCAAATGATGGAAAACTTGCAGCTATTCGACAGGATGGAGGGTTCAAAGCCGGAGAATATTAGGAAAAATCGTTACAAGAACATCATCCCGTTTGATCACACGCGCGTCGTGTTGAGGGATATCCCTCCCGACGCTCCGCCGGGCGCTGATTACATAAACGCCAACTACATTCGGTGTGACCACATAGAGGCCACAAGTACAGATTCTCTGGATTCAGGAATCGGAAGTACTGGCGGCAATGAAAATGGATCTCCACAAGCCCGAAACGGCTCTCCGACTAAAGGCAAATCTTCCCCTATTCGTTCCACGAGCATTGTATCTGAAGAAAGCATAAAGAAAGTATTGGGAAATCCTAAACCAGTGACACCTTTTGAAGTAAGCGTACTGCGGTCCAATCCGAATTACGTCAACACTACAATACCGAAGACACTAGGCGAAGCAGAAATGTGCGATGCTGACTATGTCTACAATAAAATCTATATTGCAACGCAAGGATGTCTCTCGACTACTATATACCAGTTTTGGTCGATGATATGGCAAGAGGACGTTCGCATCATAATAATGACAACGAAGGAAATAGAACGTGGAAAGGTTAAATGCGAGCGGTACTGGCCCGGCTTGCATAAGACGGATGTTATAAACAAGAAATTCACGATTGTCAATGAGTCCGAATCGTCAACGCCAGATTACACATTAAGGCGATTCTTGGTTACAAAAAAAGAAGAACCTAATGTGAAAAGAACTATATATCATTTCCATTTCACGGCTTGGCCTGATCACGGCGTGCCGTCGGAGCCGGGTCGCGTATTGAACATCTTGCTTGATGTAAACTTTCGTCTGCAGCAAATAATGACCGGTCCAAACCCACCCGCACAGGCCGTTGTCTGTGTGCACTGCTCGGCTGGAATAGGTCGAACAGGCACTTTTATAGTCATCGATATGATTCTGGACCAAATACGGAAAGAAGGTTTCGACAGCGAGATAGATATTCATCGCACCGTGCAAATGGTGCGAGACCAGCGCTCTGGTATGGTGCAGAATGAAGCTCAGTACAAGTTTATCTATATGGCGGTGTTGGAATTCATCACAACGGAGATGCAGAGAGTGGGCATGAAAATATCCGATAAGGACGAGGAGAAGAAGGAAAAGGAAAATGAAAAAGATAGAGAGAAAAAGCTCGTGGAGTCACCTCGCTCGAAGAACCAGCAGGCATTTTTTCCGCAAACACGTTAAATCGTAGAAATTTGCGTCAAAAACTTGCTTACTACTGTAGGGTCTGTAGAGTGAAATATTTCCAGATTCTTTAATCTATTCTATTGTTATTCGTTACAAATACAACACCGTTTTGATTATTATAGATTTTAGCAAGGAGCGATGTGGATTGCAGTTTATTTATTTCGATGGTATGATGGTACTACATCGTGTTAATGCTATTATTAATTTTATTCAAAAGACACATGTTTATATGTGAGCTTTCTGGTAGTACAACGTTAAGCAAATATTGATGTCAGGAAATTGCTATTAGATATACTGTAGGTACCTACATCATATGAATGCCAAGAGTGTTATAGAAGCGAGTTGTTTTGATTACTATCAGACTGACAATTATTTTGCTTGGTCCATTAATGAGCAATTGGTGAGCGTCGGAACAAAAACAGCACAATTCACATTTTGACTTTATAAGTAGGTTCTTTGTAAGTTTCGTAAGTTTCTGTCTGAACATAGTGCGACAAATGCATTCAATGAGACTAGAATCGACATTCAACAAAATTAGAATCGAAATTTTATCTGTTTTTGTTCCGATACTTCTCAGTTATAAAAACATTTGGATCCTTCGTTGTAACAATGAAATATAACAAAGTAAATAATATGAACGAATGGCAATGACGAATAATAATTTTTATTGTAATAAGTTTTCCGAATGGAAAAAATCTGAGACACAATTTCGTTCTATGAAGTGTTTTATTATTGTTGTAAAATATATTAATATGTATGTATAGATTTTAATTGAATGAGGCACTAATTAGAACTCCTAAGTGACCACAATTAGGCTTCATATTTTCCATTTTCATATAAGGGCAAAGATTTTTGATTGTGCTAAAATTAGATTCACAAGTTGTAGTAAATAAATAAAAGTAATATTGTTGAAAGATTGAAACAAGTTAACTATTGGTAGTTATGAGAATAATATATTTTAAAACGGTGAACATCAAAATTTATTGTTGCTTTAAACTATTATTACACGAAAGTCAGAGGAGATTGACTTCAACGTGATCTCGAATTGGATTTTGAATTCACGCAGTGTGCTTTATTTCTCAATATTTCTAAAGTGTGCGCTTGCTGAGTTATCGTAAATAATTAGAAGCGCTTAGACCGTAGGGTCGGCCAGAAACTCATAAACGTAATATTTAAACGGCCCACTCATTCCTTTACCTGATGATTGTGAACAGCAATCATATGATATTTTTTTCCTTACAACTTAAAGTTTAAAACAATATTTCTGAATTTAAATACATCTATATATTTTACACATACTTCTCTGTTCTAAATATGATGGGCGTATTTTTATTGTCTGAATTTGATACTGAACTATATTTTTTTCAGTAAATTGACTTACAGCAGTAGCAGAGAAAAATCAGTATGAATTTGCATTTTTACCTAATTTGGTGGAGGCATAAAAACCGTTACAGTGAAGTATAGAAATTGTTTGTAAGCGATAGATACTTTACTGCGTGTTAAATAAGGGTAATACGACATTCATCAGTACTTTGCAGTTGCGCACCCATTGTACAAAATTACATAATTGGATGTCAAAAGTTTTTAACATGGGCGCGCCACTGAAGCATGTAGATGAAATAAAGTATATTCGTAATGGTCCGCACGCACTGTTTGTACTGTGTGATAACCGACAATCTTGAAGTCTGTTAGTCACCGATATGCACTTAAGCAACGCGACATACAAACGCGTGCGGATCTTTAGTCTCCTCTAAATTAGATCGCTGATAAGATTGTCTACAAATGAACTTTAAAAATATAAGTATCAAATAATTGGATATCGCATGAAATCAGTTCTTGAATGAAATTTTTACATTGAGGATTACTTGTGTAAATGGTTTTTTTTTGCAATAATATCCATCTTTGATAGTTTTATTCGTGCTTTTGATGTAAGGATCGAAAGTTTTAATTCTTGTTAAAATCTGAAGGAGTGCGCATATTTGACAGTACTTATTTTCGAACGCGTCATTTTCTCATTATTAGTTCGAAATTATATTGAATAGCCAGCACACTTATTGTACTACATTATTGACATTTTTGGGTGTTCTATAGTTGCCGATAGTTTCTTCTAAAATTTATTAATATGTAATGTGTAAAGTTGGTGATGTCACAAGGCCGATGGCAGGCGGGTATTAAGATAGTACTGACAAACGTGCGTTCACCTTAAAGGCGAGGTGCTTTTGTGAAGTATTTGGGCCATGCAGCAGCATGTGCGTCGGTGCGAAATTTTTTTTTATGGAATTTATTTTTTGTTTCCAATTTTAGGTGATATTATGTATTACGAAGATCATTTTCAGCAGCGGAATTTATTGTAAGCAATGTCGCAAGTCGAGTCCCAGGGAGTCGCCAAACTTATCCACACCTAATTGCATTATGCCGGTCGGAGAAAGTCTTATGGCTCAAGACGATTCTGTGCTAATAAGTTTGGTGGTCCCCTTAACCCAAGTGTTCACGTCGAACGCTCTGCCATACATTTCTGTTGTATGTACGTTGGTGTTTAATATTATATACTGTGAAAAAAACAATGCATAGAATAGATATTTTTTTCAAATTCGTTTGAAGAGTAACAAAACAATAACAACTGCGATAACAGTAGGTGTTTTACCTTTTAAATGTAGGTTTAAATATTAAGTAATCTATGTAACTATACATTAATACATGCATTCGGAATGAAGGTGGTGAGAGATGTAGCTCACGTTCGTGGCATCCGTAGCCTTTATCTACCGGAGACAGGCATTAGTGTGTCATCGTAAGATAGCGTTAAAAGTATTTTCGCGACAAAAAATGTTTTTTAATTTCGTGTTATTCTGCAATATTTCTTTCTAAACCTCTGCAGGTTTAGAAAGGAATATCGGAGGCAAGAGTAGTTTTTCGAAAATTTTGTTAACGCCATCTTATGACGTATGTGTAACCTAGAACTCGCAGAAGTTAATGTGAATTTCTGTCGCTTTGGTTTTTTGTCTGTATTAATTAATATCACTTGTAGACACAACAAAATGTCACTGCTGAACTACCAATCACGTAACAAGTGCGTACATTTAAAAAAGTTTAAATCGATAAATTTTTAAAATTTAAAATAGGCCAAGTGAGAGGAAGAGGGTGAGGAGGAGGTAAAGCAAATACGAAGTCTCAAGTTAACTTCTGCAGGTTGTAATGTTCGATTGGCGCAAACGTAAGCTAAATATAAGTTCAGTACATCTTTTTATGTTAAGTGACAGCAGAAATTCAATTTATACATGATACGAATACATGCCGCCTAAAATTAAGAAGTACTCAATGGATATATAGGTGCCTCGTGAGGTAACCTACATATATTATCTTCTAACCATTTTTCCAATTCCTTTTCACCCTTTATGTGTTTTTCCTAAGTGCTTAGGCTGCTAACAAATTGACTGCATGTTTTCATTTAATGCGTGATGGTCGTAATCAACTTCATGCAGTCGTGGTCTCGATTACTTGATTACGACTTCACGCATTAACTGCATGAAGTCGATCTAGACTTCATTAAGTTAATGCGTAAAGTCGTTGTCCGAGACTTCGACTGCAAGAAGTTGATAACGACTTGACGTATTAACTCCATGAAGTCGTTATCAATTTCATTAGCAGTTAGCAGCCTTATAGATCTCGTTTTGTTATGATACGAACACGTGCAGTGAAGTGTCGAACTTAAATTATGTTTAATTTGCGCGAGTAGGGATAGAGAGAAATGTCTACAATCTACGATTCGGCATTGCTGAAATGATCTAAAGCTATTTTACGTTGTTGGCATTTTTATTTATACTATATTCCAATGTGTAAAGCTGAGCTTAAGTAATGCATGGAGAAAATAATGAGAAAATTTTTATGTTATCTGCTAAAGATATATGTTGTGTTATGTAATTATAATAATGAATAAAATGTGATATTGTATTTTTTTGACTTGTTATTTTGTCACCGTTCATCCAATTACAGACTGTTATAATTTTATTAAACAATGACAAAAAAACTACGGTTAAAAAGTCGTTCGAAACCATTGAGGTCCATTGGTTCGTTCCGTTGCTTAGTTGGCATAGTGTCTGGCACGGTTTCCTGGGAGACGTTAGTTCGAATAATCCAACCGAGAAGTATTTTTTTTCTCTAAGTGTTCCATCTTTGTTTATTAAATAATTATAACAAACTAGTGAGAAGTAATTTCACAAAAAATAAGTAAATATCATGGTGAAACATCCAGACATTAAATTAAAACTTAATTATTACAGATTGTTTTTTTATAAATAGAGTTTTCTTAGTTCACGGTTCACATATAGTAGGTACAACACGATTTACTACCGTTCACTTTTTAACGTTACGATGACAGACTGTCCAGACAATGGGAAAGTTAGCGGCTGCCGTGCACCGATAAATTGTCGTTATGACCTAGTGGGAACAGCTGGACACGACAGTCGTTCAAGGATAAAATAAACATCAATGACACAATCTCGACAGATTGTCGTAATATGGGATTAGAAGTATATTTTGCATTGAAAGTAATTTCATGGGATTCTTTAATGTTGTACCAATTAAGCCGGTAGATGTCTCTGTTGTTGTTGAATTGTTTTTAAGATTCAGGAGGGAAAAGTATGTAACAAACGGTGACTTTTCCTTGCTATGTTACATAAGTAAAAGAGAAGTTCTCAAATAAGTTTTTAATTGATAATTGGTTGACATTGGCAGTAAACATAATATTTTTTGTACAATCAAACCTTAAAAACAAAAAGCCCAATAAGAAATTAACACAAAAATATATAATTTAATGCACAAGTACTTATTTGATTATATATTTATAAAGATATCACTTTTTTAAGCTGGCCTCAGGAACGAAGATATTTTTCTAAAACATATACATAATTCGTAATATGTGTTAAACAAGGTCCTAATTTACATGATTTATTATTATTGACATTAATAATCAACTCCTCAGATATCCCGAAAAAAACCAACTGTTTCATATTACTTACTGTATCTGTTAAATTAAGCCATCAGCTAAATGGACAACAAATAATTAAGAAACTCGAAGTGTATTTTTTTATACGTTTTTAATAACCTATTATGGGCACTGCTGGGCATAGGTCTCCCCCAAAATGTAAATCTGAGTCTGTTTACATTTGGGTTGAGTAGATCGAATTCGTAGCCTTGATGAAATAAAGTCACATGTGATCATACGTTAAAAGTTCTTTTGTCATATCAGTCATAAAAATAATACGAACTTCATGAAAATTGTGTAATTATAATGTGAAATTACTGATACTGCTATTTAAGTATAAACAAATATCAACTAACTAATCTCGATGTTGAGGTGTTGCTCATTGTGAAACTTATTTGGTTTATAATAAATTAGGACCTTGATATATTTCTGAGTCCCATATTTAATGACAGCTTTAAGAATAGCGGCCTATCTTAAAAACGTCAATTCATCAATTGCTTTTTTTTAAAGTGTGGGTTATTTTTTTAATATTAGACAACATCTACGTTGCTCTGATCCCAAAATAAGCAACTGAACTTCTTGTGTTATGGAAATTGGAAACAACGGTACCACAAACAGTAGTTCTTCATTGGCCGGGGATCGAACCCGGGATCTGAGATGATGACATCATGAAAACCGGTGTGTAAGTCACTCGACCACGGAGGTCATCGTATTTGGCACGCAAAGTTGAACTGGGTATCGGTCTAGTGAAAAGTTCGAAATTTAAAACCTTCTGTTTGTGATACAGTTGTGTAAGGGCGGTTTCCCACGGCCCGTGCATTTCTCGTTAACGCGCCGTGTGAAGAGGGCTGCCCGAGCGTACCCGTGGCGGACTGTTCCGGTCCGCCACTGGTTGGTAACTTACTGGTTACTAACTCTCGATACATACTCGAATACGCGTCAGCCCGAGCTCGTCCGGACAAATCGGCGCGTTTGACATCACGGACCGTGAGCACGCACCCTTATAAGTAAAAAAATATTATTTTAGTTTAGGACACTATTCTTTAAAGCGATGAATAAAAAAAAAATATCCCTAACTGGTTCACAAGGATTTATCTAATAATTGAAAAACAACAAAATTAATTTAAATTATGTACACGTTACTTACGTACTTTTTCATTTTATATAACAACATAATTGTTTTTGCAAGTACAATGTGTTATCTATCAGATACTATACATTTTCATAAAGGTTTGTAGTTAGATACACGGCAAAGAGTTTATGTTAATCCATACATCAAGGGTGTTGGATCTGCCAACTATATTTCTCCGGGTCACCACTCAGATCTTTGCGATATTAAGATCTGAGTGGTACTGCAACTGAAGTTCAGAATGGACCAGTCAAAGAACGGCTGCAGACTGGAAACCACAGATCGCAGAAGACATTAGCTGGTTTCAACGCAGACGCTCCAGCAGCAATTGATCCGTCCAGCGGCAGCCCATGTAGCGCGCGGTTGCAATCAATAAATATACTGACGCGCTCTAGTAGGCACGCGATCAAATTGGAATACTTAGCTACGTTTTCCCCAGTGACGGGGAGTTCAAGGGCAAATGGTACAATTAGGCTGCTAACATATTATTCAATATGTTTATGCATTCGCATGTTTGCAGTTAATGCGTGTTGTGCAGTTGAAACCAACTTCATGCAGCCGAGATCGACTGCATGAAGTTGGTTTCAACTGCATGTAATTTTTTGGCCTCTGTATCTTTTTAAAACTGAGGTTACTCAGAGGTCTGCATGAAGTGCATGAATAACGACTTCGCTCATTATTTTTGTTGATCTTGGCTGCATGATTTCGGTTTCGACTACATGCAGTTAATGCGTGAAGTCGTTGTCCGAGACTGTGACTGCATAAAGTTGATAACGACTGCACTCATTAACTGCATGCAGTGGATATCGGTTGCATGAAGTTGATTACGACCTCACGCATTAACGGCAAGAATGCAGTCAATCTGTTAGCAGCCTTATAAATGATGTTGGGAAGCAATAGCTCGTTTACTTAACAACCCTGCGCCCGTGTGCGCCGCACACCTTGCACCATAGGTACAGCCGGTACTGGCAGCTGATCTAAGCTTAGAATTCGTTTCGGAAATATACAGTATTTCACATTTCAATCACAGGCTAGTCTAAGCTTGTGACTTCAAACCTAGTTAGGTTTGAAGACTGTTACTTGGGGAGTCATGACACTTATTAACGCGGAATCGTCTCGAATCAGGCAAAAAGCTCTATGTCCATAATAAGAGCGAAGAAGACGTGCGTTTCGCGTCGGCGATCCGACTGGCAGGCGATAAGTATGTTGCCTCCTTTAGGATGCAAAGTATGGACAATATAACTGAATTAGAGATTTGATGACACTGACGCCAGTGCTCGCGAAACACCAGATGTTAGTGTCTTTTTTTTAATAATTAAAAATAGGTTTGCATTTGTCCACAATCTCTATGGATGCGAAAAAAGTGGAAAAAGCTGGCTGACCTTGGATGTGTGCTGGCTGCATTGTTAGAGAAATACAATACACGGTGAAAAGTTTCACTTCTCAGCTGAGATTTCCCATCAGTATAAACGCGAATTTTCTCGTCACGTCCGTTTGACCAGACCAATGGATCATATACATAATTTAACCATCGAAGGGGAGTTAGTCAAATCTTTATGAGCTAACAACGAGTCTGGTGCCATGTTCGGCGTGTTCTGCTGCAAGCTGTGGCTTACCAGTTCTTTAAAGATTTCCGAGATTTTTCTGCACAGTGTTCAGTATATGCAAAGTCACATTTTATACAGATAAACAGACTATTAACCTTATGCAATCACAGTCTTTCCAGTTGCACCCCATATAACTAAAAATTTCTTTTATTACATTCCTCCATCAAATTAGTTTACAACAATATTGAGTATTTACATTAGTAGTTATCATAGATCTTATACTATAGATCATAGATTTATGACTACAGTAAACTTTAGTCATCGTTGTTCACTTGAATTTCTTCAATACCATCACTTTCTGTTACTAGAGCTCTCTCTAGTATAACTCTGCCTTCTTTGTATCTGAAACATGGAATAAAATTATGTATACAAGCAACTAATTGACTGTACTCACTTTATTATCAGTACAATGCCTTTATTAGTACAATACAGATTTTGTTGTAGGTCTCCAAACACGTCATGGGTGAAATGAGTAAATGTCTTTTCAAATAAAAGTAAAGCGTTTTTTATACGTGTTGATGCATGCTGTTAAGAGGGATTTGACCCTAACCCTCCTTTATTTAGTCATGATATTTGCTGATAACGAACTAACATTTTTTGCATGATATTATAGTAATTAGAAACAGTTATCTGATTATAAAATATTATGATTCAGTAGAAAGATAAATCATGACATAATGAATGTTCTAATTATGAGATACATTAATAGATAAAGGGTTTATTTTCACAAATTTTTAATTTGTTTACTTATTACAAATTAGATGCTTGGGTGATAACATATAAGGATTGGGAAAGTGTTAGAAATGGCAAAATGCTTTATACCCATCGAGTATATAACCAGAAATAGAGACGAAAAGGCCCATCCATCCCTGGCAAATCATCAGGCAAATAGGCCTTATATCACTTTTAAATATCAACTTGGTATTTGCACTGAAATCACAAATTAGAAAGCTGAAATCCAACAACTGACCTATATGTATGTTTCCGTATATTCCAATAATATTGTGTATTTATTGTAATAAAGATAATATCTCTAACTATGGGGGGCTGTTCCATTCGGTGGTGTGGCAGCAAAACATCAAAACAAACGGAATCACATTTCATCAGTAATTAAATATTAAATATGTAATTTTTCAATTTTCGTCAATTCTCCAAGCTCAAGTTAAACGGGTCGATATGAAGTGAAACGTGAGGGTAACGATACCCGTCCATTGTTTCGAATTCAGGCTGGCCAATCGAAGCACAGTTGTCACCGTAATGATTTGGCAGAATAGTTTTCAAACAAATTAAATGACATTTCTTCTCTATTTCTGGTTATATATTTGATGTTTATACCCAACTGAAACTCCTTTTATTGGATTATTAATTGCACAGCATAGTAGAATTTCCGGATCTACTGAAAATCAGCATCGTAGCACTTTCAGTGAGAGGATAATAAGCTAAGTGGATGAATGATATTTCATAATGGCACAATGCACACTCTGTTATGCTCATTATTTATTACTTAAATAATTATTTATATTTTAGGAAATGAAACTATTTTTTCAGGTAACCCATGACCAAGTGACCTGTTTATATACTGTATAGTCTGTCATGGAGTAAAGTGACATTTGTAGGGTTGACATTCTAATGACTACTAATTGTGTTATTGCCTTCTGTGTTCTTATTGTGACAGTTAGCTTGCTAGAGTCGAGATCAATTTTTATTCATATATACGTTTCTACAAAAATAGCCAGATTTGATTATCTATGTTGAGTTAAAATTAAAAACTTTAAAATATGTCTCCTCTTTGTCTTTTCCATAAATATTTTATAATACAGTGTATGTAAAACTGACAATTCAAATGAATTCGTGCCCAGTAATTGGATGAATCACGGGTTGAGGCCGAATAAAATGAAACAAGTTTGGCTATTTATTGTGTAAATGTGACCAAGATTCAGTCGATAGTCGATAGAATATTTATTGATTACTCCAATCACTAGCTTGCAAGTGGGCAACACTTTTGCGCAATAAACTGTCCTTTTACTCAATCTTCGAAAAAGACAGACTATAGTTAAATATAGTGTGTTTTGCATGCGGAACCTTGTAGTTTAAGCAACATAACGGTATTTACTGTTATGTCTTTACATCTAACTGATAAATAAATTATTTATTTGCCTTTGTATCAGTTTACTACCAGTCAAATGGTTTTATAATTTGAGCTCCCATCTATTGGACCCATTCTTTAGTCAACACACTACAGCGAAACTAGTGAAAGTTCTATCTCTGTCAGAGTGGTTGTGTGTGCGTACATATTTCCTTTATAATGTACAATCTTTACCTCTGGTTCTCCTCTGTAGCAAATTCGTACACCCATCCGAGTTTGGTAGCGCAGTTCTTGCAGGAAACATCACGAACCATATGGCGACCTGTCAGCATTACTCGATCTTGTACTTCAGAATACACTAGGTTCACCACTTTGTGAAACAAAAACGCGCGACCTAGAAACACAATTGTACATGTTTCCACTATTAGGAATAATAAAATGCTGAAGAAATGTAGGAGTGAGAACATATGTATAGAGTTAATTTCGGAAGCGCTATAATTCCACTTCAACTTCAACTTTTGTATCTATAGCTCCGTCGTTTTGCGCGACGATTTAGCCAACGTCAAGGGTTGAAAGACATGTAGTGCGGTGGTGAGATAGACTGCCGGTTATTAAAATACTTAGGCGGTTATTATGCACATTGACGGTTATATATATTTTTAATGACATTACAAAAATATAAAAAGTGAAAGAAAAGTGAAAATTGAAATACCAGTTGCGCCTGTAAATCTGGTGCTAATGAGCTCCGCACGGTTAGTAAGGTTCACATCACACGCTGCACATGAAAACAATCGAGTCCCACCGATATGGTCCAGGAAGATTTTGCCCATTTTTATAAATTTTCTTTGTTTTCAAAACAAGAACCTATGATCATCCGAAATAAGTTGTCAAATTTGACAACATTGACAATGACAGATTCTTTTTTTTTTGTACTTTTCACCCAAAACGGACAGGCTAAGGTTTAAGACCGTACTGCATTGTTTTTAATCTTCAGCCATCTTTATCCGGCAAACGTCTGCGTCTTTTGTGAAGTAATACTGTTTATAAAAAAAAATCCTGTAAGTACACGTCTTCAGCCAACGACTTCAATCTATAGACAAGAACATTCACAGAAATTATTTACGTTCATATGTGTAATCACTATTGGCAGTTTTGTGTTGAATTTTGTTGAGTACATACAATACCGTAGTACCGTGGACTAGACCGGTGTCGGCTGATCATTTTTGATAGTCCGGGTCGATCATGACCCATGCGTAATGTGATCGAGTCAAATGATTCAATCATATGTTCGATCTTTTCGCGGGTCACCCGTCGCTCACGATACTTCCATATGCCGTATAAAAGTGTCAAATCGTACAATTAACTTTTATTCTTTCCTGCTAATGTTAAATTTAAATGCATCATTGATAAACCACACTTAGGACATTAAAATTTATTTCTAGGAAAAGTAACACCTACAAAAAAAAATACACAACAAAAAACTTATAAGCGTTCAAAATTACTAATTTATTATTCATTAATATTTTAATATAGCTAGTGCACTCATAAATAAACACAACGAGAAGGCGAAGCGTGACACGAGTCCCCACTCACGCTAGAGTGAACGAGACAACAATAATATTGTGAATTGTTGAACAATCTCTAAATTTATAAAGATAAAGTCGAATATTGCGCTCATGTCCCATGAAACTCTAAAATGATCGAGTAATTTAGAAGCTAGTAACCGGGTTATGGGGTCACAGGTGCTGTTCGAATAATTTTGATTCGGTCGAACACGATCGACACACATCTACTTCAATCTATAGACAAGAACATTCGCAGAAACTATTATGTTCATAATATGTATAATCACCATTGATAGTATTTTGTTTTTGTGTTGAATTTTGTTGAGCACAGTCGGTACTGTGCTACGGGTAGTACCGTGGATGTGGACAGAAGTAACAGTCTATAACAGGTATAGACTGTTTTCCGTAATAAAAATTCATTATTATATTATATTTAATAATGATCTTATAAAAGGTTTCATAGCTTACTTTTAATCTTTGTCGCATGTAATTCTAGGTATCTGATAGTTGTAAAAATAAATAAAAGACCTGGCTCCGACATGCTCTTGGTAAATTTTTATTTTAAAAAGGAATCTGAATTTAATTAATTATGGAAATAATAATGCAAACAAAATAATGCATTGCCCAACGAAAAAAACATGAATGAAAGAACTACAATGTCGTGATTAGATTTTTTAAGGGACAATAATGGTATCTTCATCTAGTTACTTACAGATAAGTATAATTATATATATTTTCATGATATCACGATTTGACCGGCACTGTCACAGTGCTTGTCATCCTGAAACAAATGTTGACCACCGCTCATGTGCCTGTAATTTCACCTAAACCCACCCTCCCGTTAAAACCGGAACGCAGTAATGTTCACATTGTACTGTTTGGCTGCAGAAATAGCTAGGTAACGTTGCAGTACTTTCCTGGACGAACTCTGTCTGCTACTGACTGTAACTGGAGTTTATAACAAATCAAAGCGAGAGAAATAATTAAAACAACATCTCAATATACCTAGTTTAATAATCTCTTATAAAATCTAGGTTATAACTTTACATAAAAATATTACAATATAAATAATCCAAGAGGGTCTAGCTTTCAGCGTCTTATAATTATTTGCACTGATCAAAATATTAAAAAAATACAAGGTTGCTTCGCATCATATTCAAGCTATAGCTCTACTTATCACGTTTTTTATCTAATATAAGCACTTTGTTTAACGAAGAACGATTGACTTAGTATTAAATTAACTTACTAACACATCACAGAGCCCGTTTCATTATTTGCTAACTAGTTCTAATAATCTCTACGATACTTTGCATCACACCCGTCACCAGCACGAAGGAGCCGAATAATATAAGAGCAGAATCTTTTATTAGGATCCATTTGAATTTGCCGAGGTCCCTTTCCCAGTTGAAAATTATGTGCATTAATGAAGGCGCTATGAGTCCCAGGAAGGAGTAGAAAAATGCACCTTCCAGGCCGATGACTTGCTCCAGCCGGGGCAAGGTTGCAGCAGCTGCCACTGAAAATTAAATTTTAACATGTCAATGAAACCTGTTGCAAAAGATCTACCTGTGAAAGAGTTCGTTCATGGAAGTACTGCCATTTTACCTACGTACCTATTTCTCCCGCCAAGTAGTAATGCTCACATTAGGTACTACTTGGCGGCAGAAATAGGTAAGATGGTAGTACTTCTCTGCACGAACTCTTCCAGATTCGCTCTGGACCTTTTGGAGGGAAAAGTGTCGTTTTTATTTTGACTTTCAATTATTTTGTGAAATCTAGTTTAAAGTGGAATAGGATAGTGCTATTGTGCCTTAATCGAAGATTAAAACGCGAAATTATACGAATCTCGAACTAAAATACCCGTATCGGCCCGTTCTAAGGAATCCCGAGTCAATCCAAGCACGCCCGCCTCAAATTGCCTATCCTCTTTGTGGCGGCCATATTTACAGAAAAACTTATTTCTATGTTTTCGGCTGAAGGACTTTGTTTCCATGGCCAGTAATAAATTAATAAATAATAAACGAACTCTTCCACGGGGATCTCTGTTGCTATTAAAACTAATGTCACCTTAGAGTGAAAACCCGCATACGCATTTTTACATTATTTTTACTGATATTTGCTGAAGCGAATTTCATAAATCTCTTAGTTAAATATGTTATTAAAGTAAATATATATATTTTTTAATTCAATAGAGCACTGAAAGAAGCATAATTTAACTCCTTAAAATGCTAACAATATGATTGTATTTACTATATTTTGATTATATACGTATCAGAAAAAAAATATTTTTGTCAGTTTCCCGAAAGTTTTAATCTTCGATTTTCGTGTCTTTGTTATTTACGATGACATTTTGTGATCAAAGTAAATTGACAGGTTTGCAGTGCTTCTATTTTCTCAATGTCCCACGGCAATCATCGGATTTTCGAATGCACACGAATATTAATTTCTATGCCCATTAATTATTAGATTTCAAATCTAAAGTAATTTGAATTTTGAACAACGTACTTTATTGTTGTTTTGTTACTATTGTTGTCTTTATTGAACGTATCAGATTCTTGTAAAAAAAAAAAATACAAGTACACGCTATAAATTATCTGTCGTGCCTGTGACTTTAGAGATTTGACTCCCATTGTATAATAAATAAAAAATATAATAGCAAATCTGTATACTTCCAAGTCTGAAAGCGTCCGGTCTGTACCAAAGGGCAACCAAATAAATAACCCGACTACTAACAGCCGACACACGAACTTTGCCGAGGGACGTTGAGAATATAGAAGCACTGTACTTAGTATAATTTGAGTTATTGCAATGTATAATAATCAGTATGTAATCAATAGCTTAGTAGGATATGAGTGGTAGAGGTGTGCACTAAGTGCGTGCCATCCCCATTACCACGGAATACTATAGGAACCGGTGTCGCCAAAACTCACGCATTCATAATTCGAAACACTATGAAATCATGATAATGAGTGGCCGTAGTTTCTAATTTAAAAAAAATCGGGACTGTTAATATAATTGAAACATTACCCTATTGGCATATCGATGAAAGTGATATAACAGCAAATTACGACGTTATGATTTTATATTAAAATTTCGATCAATGTTCTGCCGTACAATCATAATGCTGCTGACCGCTAGATTATTGAGGGTTTTTACCTATCAGTAGTCCGAATGACATTTTCCAGAAATAACGTTTGGTCGAAATTTCATAAACTCGAAAGTAATTTTGAGAGGAAAATGTTTTTTTCTTTTAAAATTAACTTAACCTAACCTAACCGTACCTAATCGTGTCTTTGCGATAAACTTTCAACATATCCTGAAAGCACAACTGTTTCGTTGTAATTCGGTTTTCGGCGTAATGAAAATTCGTACTTACAAACGTTATTTCGGACAAAAAAATTTTCGACTTTGTGATAGGATACCATTATTATGATGTGTTATTATGCCATTTAGCGGTTATATAGCTGAACGACGTCGAATTTGAGATGTTTACTTAGTTCTCCAAAAAATAGAATGACCATATTGCAGCGGTATAAGGTTTACTATCGTTTTTTGTAACAAAAAAAATATTACGACAAACAGAAAAATTAAAATTAAAATTTTTATCGCACTCCATAGTAGCAAAATAAGGCATTTTTCTATAATTTCTGAGGTTTTGCGCGAGATTATTGACATTACCATAACGTGAAAAGCACACTTCGCGTACTGTTGGCATATGTACGTAGCACGCAAATTAAGCATTTGTACTGTATTTATTGAAGGCTAGATTGCCCTCATATCCGGTACCATTGTGATAAGTATGCCCGCTATGGTGCCGGGTATGACGGCTATTGATATGGAAACAGATTTTAGTTTTCAAAATGAAAGGTGCTCGGTACTCATTCAGAAGATATGATTTATTACTATTGTCTTTTTGCTTGATAATAACCAAAACATAATTCGCAGTAGAGATCTTGGGCTTATGTTATCTATCTCGTATTATGTGAACAATCTTCCAATAGAAAATGGAAAAAATTAGTTACATAATTTGCGTTACTTACCTGTTAGAGTAGCAAAACCGGCTCTCATAATCGTCTGGGCGAGATTATGGTGTTTTTGCGCTACACGATTTTTCGTATTCCGCCACACGATCTCCATCGGCACGTAGAATTGGAGCATGAATGTGAAGAAGATTGCGAATATGATGAACACCTTCGCGGCCAAAGCAGCGCTGAAGTCCAAGAATTTAAACAGCAAATGAACACTCGTGTTAAAGACAAATAAAGGCCTTTTCAAGGCGAGAATGAACAGGCACTATGTAGGTGTGCAAGCTCCATAGTCAACCTCATCTTTACTTTCCATCAGGTGAGATGCTTTGATGCGCACTTATTTTAAACAAAAGCATACCTAGTCGTCCTAGGCAGTAGGTAATAAATCCGAAATATATAGATACATACACGTCTACTTCAGACTGATTATCATAATCATTATTGCAGCCGAAAGATGTCTCCTACTGATAGCCACATTGCGCCGAAAGCTGATCTTGCGCTGTTCACAACTAGCAGTTTCCCCCAACCTCCACCAGGCCATCGGTCCATTTTGTTGCTGCATCATCCGGTACGCGATTGCCAATCGACAATTCAAGAACTCTTCGAGTGAAAGGGGAAGAATTCCTTTCTCCTGCTACGCTCTTGATACACCTCTTCCGCTTCCCCTGCTCAGTACATCAGTCTTTGGTTGTTAACAGAATGACTATATTACGTTTGCAGTTAATCCCTGAAGTCGTTATCAACTTCATGGACTCGAGGTCTCGGCTGCATGAATATGGTTATGACCTCACGCATCAACTGCAAAAATACAGTCAGTCTGTTAGCAGCCTTTTTCTTATACTCCCGTTTATTCTTGGTACTCAATCTAGTTGAGTATATGCCTAATGCCCCAACCATGAATTTACAGACACAAAATTGTGTGTAATTTTTAACTCCCAACTGAAAATTTCTGTTCACCTATTTAAAGATTATCAGCTGTTTTCTCAGCTGTGACCTCAGTTTATATAATATTTATTTTATTTTCATTTATCCGATGACTGGAAATTTGGTACACGTGCTTAGGAAAATCGATGACATTACATTGGTAACCTTGATCTGATGTTGGAACCAAGATAGTCTGCAGACTATTCACCTACTTACAGTAGAACTATTGTGTGTAAAGTAAAAATAATCATGTTATTATGAGTACCACCAGCATGAAACAATGTTATCCAACCTGTTTCTTACACGCTGTACGTTAGTAGTAGAAGCTTATAATAAACTCACTATTCTTCAGTTGGTAGATTCAATGTTATGCTGCCCTTCGCGTCGCTACCGTAGCGTAGATAACCCAAGAATCCCATGATCATGTACAAAAGAATGACCACCGACATAGTGATGTTGAGCACCCCAGGGCATCCCAGGAAATGCTCGGGCTTTGCCATCGCGTTCTCCACTGGCAGCACCACGCCGATACCTTCCATAGCGAAGATCACTGTACTGAAATAGACATGCTCTTATTAAAGAACCGAAAGACACTTTGAAACATGATCGCCAATCGAGAGCTCAAGAACTCTTCGAGTGAAGGAGGAAGATATCTTTTCATTCACCTGCTACACCCTTCATACACCTCTTCCGCTTCCTGTGGACAGTGAGTACATCAGTCTTTGGCAATCTTCCACAAAGAAGTGGACTGTGGTTTAGCACTCTCTCTTTAAAGAAGATACGTGAAAAGCATTGGGATAATATGTGATAAGATGTGTGAATGCAACAAACAAAGTCAAGTATTTAATAGCAGGTAAGCTCCTTGTGACGGTTTTCGTCCAGAGTACCACCGCCTGGTGGTACCTGCACGACTTGTTCTTCCCGACACTTGCTACTCACAAGAAAATTTTAAGCATGCAGGCCAGAAAGATAAACGATGGTCTATAGTCATCAATAATCTTGGACATAGATAGCCACTATCAAATAGCAACAGACGTCTATAGACACATATTGCAAAAGGACACTTAGTGTGTTGGTACCAATGTTCGACATTTTAAAGGAAGTTGTTTATAAATTTGAAATAACTTTTTGTTTTTAAACATAAATAAATAGTGATTAGTTTACTTGATATAATCCTCAAGAAAGATTATGCTGTAGTAAGTTTCATAAAAAAGCTTTTACAATGATTACTATAAAAATTATTTAATCTCCAGTAATGTACTCCAACTAACCACTACACTTACAAATAATGAACACCCAGTAATTGACTCTTACCAATTACCTTACAAAAAAGATGTCGAACTGTGGTGCTGATCTGTCACTGGCGCCACCACATTAGGTCGTGTAATAAATCAATCTCAAGTGTAGGATCAATATTAATGATTTTATATAAATCTACTGTCTTTTATTGACATTTTAGATTATGGAGATTGCTACCTATTGGAAATGAAATTATTTTATCGGACCTAAAACGAAAAAAAGTTGCTTTTTCAGTCCAGTCTTGAACATGGGATCTGTAAAGAGCTGGAAACTTGACTGTTTGAAAAAACAAATATACGCGATCTAGATCAGAAAAATAGTTTCATTTGTATTTATTAATAAATATCAAATTAATACATTTAAACTTACGCGATAAATAGTGGCCATTGTTCAATCTTTACCAACATAGGTTGGCTATCCAAACCCGGGAAGTCTTTGCAAATGTAATGCAGACATATGAGAAACGTAAGCACTAACAAGATATTTGCGATTGCTGAAAATGGAGCCAGGAACTTCAGATTTTTGATCTGCGTGAAGATAAGAATCGGAACCAGAGACATTGCACAATACATTGCCTTGCTGAGGCCATTATCCACGGCAAAGTAATCCACGATCTGAAAAGATAATTTCAAGATTATACGGTTACCTATTCTTTAAGTTTTTATTATTACACCAAGTTCATGGATAATTTTCAGGTTGTTTTCCTTGCCTAATTTCAATGGCAATTTTTATTATATGAGCATTCGAGTAAATTATCGTTTATTAAATAATATAGAATGTCGTTTATAAAATGATATAAATATAGAAATTGCCGTCAAAATTAGGTAGAGAAAACTAACCTGAAAATTAGCTGCCTAAACTTTTACGACCGTAAAGAAAAATACTATTTATTTTCAAAGAAAATCTAATTTTAGTGCGACTGAACTCAAACGTTGTAGCAGAGTACATTTCAATGCCAATATCATAAATCACATTGGTGTTGGCGCGTGTCACATTGTGTAATATTTTTAAAAATTACAATAACAGCTACGTTTTGGCTACTTATCTAAATTGAGTATTGGCTTTCGTAATACTCTGGTTGAAAATTGGGCAGCAACGATGGAGCAACAAAGTTGGATTTTGAGTACCATGCTAAACACCTACCTGTTGTACAGAGTCGACTATGAGGATGACATAAACTGCGCAGGCGCCGAGGTAGGTGAAAGTCAACGCCCAGTCTATAAATATCCTGAAATACGCCAAAGGTTACTTCTAAACCTTCCTCTTTTGTTCTTCTAGAATAACAAGTTGCGGGAACGTCGACGAAACAGATATTAATGTAATGTTATAACTATGTTCAATATCATCATTAACTCATATTAAACGTCCCAGTTCTCACACAGCACTAACATACATTTTTCTATAAGAAAACATATTTTTTTATTCCATAATAACACCCCACGCCCAGTACCTACAGTAAAGTAACTCACACATAGGGCGCACTATAAGCTTCCGGAACTGGCCAATTACATAAACAATATTTAAAAAGTAAGTATAGCATTTGAAAAAGGAAAATACAGTTTGTTTTATCTGACTGTCACTTGTTTTTACATTGTCGCGTCATTTTAGAAATTGGTTATCTACATCACCGTGGATTTAACTCGTTAAAATTTTCGTAGTATGATTTTCTACGACTTTAAGTGTAATTTAACAGCTCAAAGGAGCTTCGCTCGGCTTCAAGACTTGCAAAACGACATTTATAGGTGGTTTGCAGAATTGAAACGCGGTTGTGTGAATTTCAGTGACGAATTTCGTGATGGTCGCCCGTCCACTGCTGTGAACAACTAAAACATCGATGCTGTGCGCTGTATGATCAAAACAGACAGGCATGTGACACACCATGAGATTCGGGCATGTTTAGGCATAGGCATGAGTTAAATACAATCAATACTACACAAACATTTGGGTGTGAAAAAGCTGTGCTCTCGGTGGATCTCACACAATTTGACTGAGGCTCAAAAAACGGATCGCGTCACTTGGTGCAATGCCATGCTTACCAGATTCAATGAAGGGGCGTTAAATTTGATGTGGGACATAGTAATAGGTGACGAAACATGGATTTAGTTTAGTTACGATCCCAAAACAAAGCAGCAATCGAGCGTATGGGTCTTTCGAGATGAGCCGAAACCAACCAAAGTGGCGCGCGTGCAAAGTGCCTCTAAGAGGATGATTGCTTCTTTTTTTAATAAAACTGGACACGTGGATGCTGTTGCTTTGGTGAATCATTGCACCGTGAATAGTGATTGGTACACGACCATTTGTTTGCCGGAGGTTATTGACAAACTCCGTAAAAATAACTGTAAACGTCGTATCATCTTGCACCACGATAATGCCAGTTTTCACACGGCCAGACAATTTTCATCACCTGAAGAGGCTGTCGAAGAGTATGAAAAATATGTTTAGGAGATTGTCACGGAGGAGTGGTGTAAATGTTTTCAAAATTGGTTCATTCGTAAGAAAAAATGCATTAACGCTGAAGGAGGATATTTTGAGAAACAATAAATTAATTTCTGGCCATTTATAGTACTATTTTTTTCTTATTAATTCCGGAAACTTATAGTTTACATAATATTTTAACTTTACTTTACTATAAATTATAGTTATAGTACACATAATATTTTCTTATAAATCAAACCATTTGTCATTTCAGTACGCCGTGAGTACGGTTTTTATACTTCGGAGGGCCATAACTAATGTGACCATTATTTTTTAACCGGCTTCAAAAAAAGGAGGAGGTTCTCAATTCGACTGTATGTTTTTTTATGTATGTTACGCGGTAACTCCGCCACTTGTAAACCGATTTTGATGATTCTTTTTTTGTTCGAAAGTGGGTAAGTGATCCCATTTAAATTTGAAGAAAATATTCGACCTCTAAGAGTGGTAACCTAGGGTATGAATGACTTTTGTGGTCGGTCTTTTTCGTACTCTGCACTGAGGTTAGGTTATTTCGTTCAAAGCAGTAAATTTATTATTGTTTTAAAAACAAAACACTTGTTTATGATAATAACGAAATGTTTAATGATAAAAAAAATAGAAAAAAGAACTAAAAATTTTAATGATCGAAAATTAAAAAGAAATTAGTCTTGTGTAGTCTGGTAGGGTTGGCTTGATAATATATCAAGCCAATTCGTATGATCAAATTTGCTTTAATATGTCAGGTTTAGTTATTAAATAACCGTAATTATTAGCAAGAATTTTAAATTTATATGTCGCGTGTGTCGTGAACCGTCAAAACGGGACATTTTTAAGTATTTTGGGGATAGCGGAACACGAAGCTCAAAAGCGGGGCTGTCCCGCTCAAAGTGGGATATGTAGTCACGGTATAACATAACCTTTAACTTTCGCACATAAATTCCGAGAAACTCAGAGACGCGTGCCCGAATTCGAACCCACGGCCTGTGCTTGAAAGGCGGTAGGGCAAAGCATTAGGCTACCACGGCTTTACTTTTTGGGAGATGCTTTACTTTTCTCTCCTTCTTTTAACATCTCGGGTATATGGATCGGAGTAAAGAGTACATCAACTTTAGTAGCTGTCAGTACTTCAAGCACTGAATAGCTATGGCATAAACTCAGGGCTCATTTACGAATGCCATCAAGCACTCATGGAGGTATGTATACAAAACCACGTAACTCTTCAGTGGATTAAAGGACACAGCGGCTCACGTGGCAATGATGCAGCAGATGAACTAGCCAGGAAAGGGTCGTAGACAGACGCTGTAGGACCAGAATCGATAGTGTCCCTCCCCTGCCAATGGTCCAGAACAACTATACACAAAGGTACAAAATCTTCACATAATAATACATGGACCACCCTTACGGTTTGTAGACAGGCGAGGGAAGCACTCCCAATGCTCAATGCCAGTCTATCTCGAATACTAATTAAACTTAAAAGGCAAGAGCTTCGCACTCTAACTGCCGCCCTAACGGGTCATGGTCCATACAATAAACACCTTTTCAATTTAGGTATCACAGACAGCCCTCTATGCAGAGCGTGCATAGAGGGGGAGGAAACGCCTGCGCACATCCTACTCCAGTGCTCCGGCGTGGCCAACTACAGGGCAAAGTACCTTGGAGTGCCAAGGTCGCTCCCCGAAGTCTTCAGCAAACCAAGGAGGCTGCTGAGATTCTGGAGGAGCTTGGGTGGCACGAGTAGGACCCTGCACCCACCACACGCAAAATAGGCGCTTTGTCGTCGAGTTGCGGATACCAGCCCGTTGCACCAAGTACCAAGTACCAAGTAGTAGCTGTACAGCACGTTGCGATTACGAAAAATCAAATTTGGTTCGTCTTTTAAAATTCAGTATTTATTAATGTCACGTCCTTACATAGTGATTCAATGACGATTGGCCTGTAGTTGATTGAGTAATGATCATTCATGAATTTATCATTTCAAGGAGATGCTATACCATACCTTCTTCATTACTCTTACTGATTTATATTATTCCTAACTCTGGTGACTGCAACTTCCTCAGCGTAGAATAAAGTACTTTGACTATACTATACTAATTTTCATAGTTTTTTTGGTTCTCCATACAATCTCTCATCCCCTCTTTAATGTTTATTTTTGTGACAAAAAGTAGCCTATGTCCTTTTCCTAGGTCCCATCTATCTCTACCTATACAAAAGCCATCAATACTGGTTCAGCGGTTTAGGTGTGAAATCGTAAAAGACAAAGTTACTTTCGTATTTATAATATTTGTAAGGATTACGCACATTCTATACACTAAGATATTTGACTCGCAAGCTTTTGGTTCTAAGTGCATTCATTTCTGTTCATTCAGTTTGTATTCTTTGTTTAAGTATCTATACAACCTCAAATGACTATGGCGGATGCCGTATTATAGGGAAACTATTGAATTTGGAAAAAATATACAGTAAAATGGAGAATATACACTGATTACTATATGGTATGAAAATATAATTCGTAAAAATTTTTACGATAGAAAAAAAAACACAAACTTACCTCGAAATTTTACAAGAAAATCGCTTATTCAATAGGTACTTTTCATATACCAATGATTTTTTTTGTATGAACTGAACTAAATAGAACATGTATAGTATACAATATACATTTTTCAAAGGGCTTTAATATCGTTTATAAAAAATGTTCTGAAATAAAGCCAGTGTCCCTGTCGCGACCCAAGCGAAACGAACCGTATTAGTAAGAGAAAAAATTGAATTAGAGCTGAGGTAATATCGATTTTTATGTAAGTATACGTTAAAGATCAAATTATAGATAGATAAACACTTTTCTCACTAGTATGCCACAAATACAGATTAAATACAATAGGAAAAATATAACGTTTTTTGTCATAGCAGTGAAAGGGCGCAAACTCAGTATGCCCAAGTCCAAGAATCAACGAGAGGGAATAAATCTAGAAGTTACTTGTAATGAAAGATATAACAAACGACTAGGAGCATTGACTTACAATTATATGGACGTCGGGTCCGCGCTAAAAAGTGTCCGAACTTATAGGGCGTTAAAATCGTATACTGAGCGTCATGCACGCTTTAGTCTTCGTTTGTTCGACTGACAGCGAAGCAAGCAAAATTAGACAGTACTGCGATGACATTACAATTTAAATTCAACGTTTTAGCTTTTTCACATCCCTTTACATGTCACTATGTTTAAATAGGTTGACTTGGGACATTTTTTTCGTGGTTTTTGTATTACACCCGTCGTCCATTTATTTGTAAGTCAATGACTAGGAGTGAAATTGTTCGTTGAAGTAATAAATGTAATAAAATGTGAATAGTGCATCTAAAGTTTCAGTTTCCTGGGAGTCAAATGTGATGAACATCTAAAGTGGAAATATCACAATCACATTGATCATGTGTGCAATAGGCTGAATAAATTTATTTGTTTTTGGCATAAGTAGGCTAGGACAAACTGTATCTCACGAAGCTGCAATGATGGCTTATCACGGGTACGTCTACGCTGTATTAAATTATGGGCTGATTCTGTGGGGAAACTCCGTAGATGTGAGTAGGGTGTTTGTAGTACAAAAGAACGCGCTAAACGAGATGACACATGCGAGACCTTGTTCAAAAAACTCAATATACTACCTCTCGTCAGCATCTATGTAAGAGACATCTGTGTGTTTGTTAAGACTAACTCTCAACACTTCAGAATACGTGGCGATTTAATTCAACTACAAACTCGAGCTAAAATTATGAAACAGAAATAATTGTACAAATAACTGCTTCAACATTTGGATCAAGATTTTTAATAATTTACCAAATGACATTAAATTACTACAAGGACCTACTTTTAAACTACAGTTGACAAAATGGCTTTTGAGTCTTTGCTTCTATATAATTAACATTATTAACATTATGTTAAAATGCTATTAACTGTATACAAGACATAATAAAACTCCATTACGTTTGCACACCTGCTTGTAGGTTGAATACATTGTACCTAAATTAATTTAAATTTACTGTATTCTGGCAAATAAACGTATTCTATTCTATTCTTATCTAAAATAACCTATTAAATATGTAAGTGCATGTGCGGATATGAATATATACGTGTAGCTGTAAGTAAAAATTACGATTGTGAATATATTTTAATGTAATAAATCAAAGTAAAAATTTATTTTATAAAGGAAAGAGTACATGGGGATATGAAAACTAATAATAATAGTAAAATTTTAACAAACCAGACAGGTTTTTGTAACGAGAGTAAGTAGGTGTTGCCGGTTAGGTGCTTTGAATTTGTGTTTGGAAGACTCGTCACGTATACGTGGAGGAATATTATTCCAGCATTTTGAAGCCGAATATTTGAAACTACCCTTAAATGCTGCAGTTCTATATTGTGATACGATAAATATATGATTGGGCAGTTCTTTCCCTGTAGTGTACGTTAACCGTCGTATAGTCACCTGCTTATCGGTATTTACAGAATATGATGTATACTGTAGAATACCAACCAATAAGTAGACAAGATAAGGCGGAGAGTGTGCGAAAGAATTGCATGATTTGATTCCACCTTCCCCTTTCCATCATCGGGGGGCTAGACGTGGGCTGGGGTACCACCCCCATGTTGTGGATAATCCCAGGATTCGCAAGAAAAGTTTCGCTTCCACATTTATGTGGCCAGCGATTAGGGAGTGGAATTCCCTGACTGCGGCCTAGTTCCCTGAACGCTATGACTTGAATCTTTTCAAGGCGAGAGTGAATAGGCATTATTTAGGTCTGCATGCTACATCGTTGACCTCATCGTCACTTTCTATCAGGTGAGATGGAGGTCAAATGCGCACACTACTTTAAAAAAAAACTAGATGTCCACAAATTGGCTTAAAAAGTTTCCTGAAACATCATTCACTACTGATGCAATTTTGTGGCTAACAACTTAAAGGTTAAGTTAGTTTTAACAATTTTCTTCACACTTATCTACCCAAAACCAAATAGTCAATAGGGGGTTAGATATTATAGTGGACAGACCGTACATTCAGTCATTCCATTTATCAAAGCACCGCATTCTCCTGATAAGTTAAACATCATTAACACATGATTTTATAATTCTATGTATACAGACGAGGTAATGAATAATATAGACTGTTTTAAAGATGTATTAAAATCAATAGAGACGTTTGTTTCAAGAGCACTTCGTAAATTTGATAACCTTCGCAATTAATTTATCGATTAATGGTTGATGAAAACAATTTATTGTGCCATGTTGTATTTTGGTTTAAGTTTTGAAAAGCGTTACGGAAAATACAAATTGAATACAACAAGGAACAGAAGGCGACAAATGTTTGGATAAAATAAAAAAAAATATTTGTTACGTAATCACGAATTTGTGATAGTGATAATTGCGGGGAAGAAGACGGTGAAAGAAAGAGGAAGACCAACAATGGCGTACGTACAAATAAAGACGAGCACACAAAGTTAGTAGCTATAAAGAGGTCAAGGATCTGGCTATGAATTGTAAGGATTGGAGGAGGCTATACCGACAAGAGCTCGGCTCTTAAATAGGATGAAGTATTTTGGTATAGAACTCACCGAATGCTTCGTGAGAACTTTCGTAGCTGCCTTGGCCCTGTAGCGAACACAGCTTCTGCTGTTTCGGCATATCCCAACGATGGCACCTTGCTAACTTTGGCAACCTCTTGCGAAGTTTTCACCTATGTTACAAATGAGCTTGAATTAAAGTCTTCTAACAATAACAATCGTAAATATGAAACTATGACAAATGAATATTTTACCAATAGAAACACGCAGTGAGTGCAAATGTAACCCAGGAGGATAGTGCCAAATATTCCAGCTACAGTTCCGGCATTCCTGAAGGCTGCTGGCATGGCTAAGATACCGGAACCTAACGAAGATTTTAACAGATTCGCGAACGACCGTGCATCTCTGAAAGGTAACATTAATAAAATGAATGAACTTTGTTGTCCTCTTTGCATAAATTATTTCAAAAGTAACATAACACAAAATGCAAAGGTAAGAAGTACCCAAAGTGTATAGGGCACCGAACAGGAGCGACTAACAAAGCAAAATAGCAACAAGAGAAAGTTACCAATTATCGAATTAGAAAGAAAAAGAAACTATTTTTTCAAATATAAATCTGTATATTTGTTTTTTCAAACAAACCAACGTTTCGGGCCCTTTACAGGTCCCATAGTCAAGGTCCCTTCGGCCGCGCACTAAACCGGAGGTTCGTAACCAGTTGCGAAAGTAACATAATTATGTTTTGTACGATACCAGTTGCGAACGAAGACTTTTTTGTACTCGCACGAAACCGTGGTTTCGAACTAGGAAATGTACCCATTTTAAACAAAAAATAATAGCGACGAAGGAGAGTCTATTCTTCAGTCGTAACCATTAAAACCTATAATTTGTAGTGGCTGGTATGATTAGCAGGGAGCCCCAAACGTTTGGTTTTGGTTTTGTATGAAAAAATAGTTTCATTTCCTATGTGTAACAATCGCTATAGTCTGCTTAGATTGCTACAAAACCCGGATAGACTGATGTAGAACAAAAAAAAATCAAAACCATTCAGAATTTTTACCTTTCCATTGATGATACGTATTTGTTACGAGTAAAAGTAACTATTACACTAAGTTTACTTTCTTGGTATAGATATGTGGTTGACACTATACTCACGAATTAGGATGTTCTAGTTTTCTGTTTTGAAAGGGTTCGTAGTCGTTTTTCTCCAAGTCATTTTCTTTACATTTTGTGTTTATTGTGCTGATGCTTGTCGTGGACGGAAATGCTCCATTTTCAGTTATTACAGCGCTGAAAAGGAGATAAAATATAACTTAAGTTGTGTAGGCATTACATTCTTTTTAACAGACTTCATAAAAGGAGGACGTTCCTAAATCGATTTAGGAACGTCCTCCTTTAAAAAATACAGTCGACTGCATTGACTTACAAATAAATGGACGGCGGGTCTAATACAAAAACCACGAAAAAAATGTCCCAAGTCAACCTATTCGAAATTTAAATTGTAATGTCATCGCAGTATCGCGCTGTCAGTAGAACAAATGAAGACTAAAGCGGAGTTTGGCGCTCTGTATACGATTTTAGCGCCTTACAAGTGCGGACACTTTTTAGCGCGCACCCGACGTCCATATAATTGTAAGTCAATGGTCGACTGTATTTTTTTGTCTGTGTGTGTTACGCGATTACCGATTTGTGAACCAATTTCGATGATCATTTTTTTGTTGGAAAGAGGACACCTCAGCGTTGGTCCCAATATAATAAATTAATTTGAAGATAATATTAGTTAAAAATTAAGTTTTAGTACTTACAGGGTCGAGAGTACATCAAGCATGAGTTTAGATTTAATTTCAATTCTATAGCGCATAAGAGAAGAACGGTGCAAAGTCCAAAATTAATAGGCTCTTGACTGTACAATTATATCGTTTGTCTTCTCAATAAATTGTGCTAGTTTTCGTAATCAAGCAAATGTATATCGGCGACCGAATAGCTTTTCAAATAATTTCGAGGTGCTACTGAAACCGGGACTGGATGCAATTCAAATTTCATTATTTTTGACAAGCAACCAGTCCCGGGATCACACAGGTTTCCGTTGCAACTTTAAACCAACCCCGGGTTCAGATGCTACAAACCCATTACAACTCTATGGTGATGAAAATCGAATCTATTTTATGGATTTCTCTATAATAGCTGCCTTATTGACAATGTTTCGATATCGTTAAGGGGCGTGGTTGTCTTTGTCTCGGAATTGGGGTATGTGGGGTATGTTGTAATGGAAAAATCCAATCATTTATTTTGAATCCTGTTTATTGTGAAATAAGGCTCAATTGATATTGTGGCGGAACGGAATGGAAGCAACTTTTCGTAGCATTATTGTACATAGCATAATGAATTTTATTGTCAATTGTGTAACGTAAAAATTAGATACAAGCCAAAATTTTCCGCGGAATTCTCGCGTATGCTCAAGATTGCTCGCGCATTCCGCGGAAGATTTTGGCTTATTACCTCAGCATTGATATATGTTATCAGAGCTTTAAATCGCAAAGATCTGAGGGGCACTGGCATTGGGCCCGTCTCCCTGAGACATAAGTTGACTAGTCCCATGCGCCTGTAATTTCATCAGCACCCTTTCCCCTCATAACCGGAACGCAGTAATGCTAACATTACTGCTTGGCGGCAGAAATTAAATTTGATATGTAATTTAATGACAACAATATTATTATTAATGAATTGTTAACTTTATAATTATTGTGTATTTTTCATTTTATAATTTGTAGTTTTGTTTGACGATCTCAATATAATTTCTAATACATGCAGTGCAATTTATAGTGTAATATTATATTTGAGAAGTCTCAATTTGAATCTGAATCCACGGATACGAATGCTGGTGCTGATAGTCGCAACAACCCTGCAATGTATACCCTCCTATAGATTCCGGATGATGTTCAAAATTTGCCATTTACGATGCTTAAAACTAACGTGAAAGAAAAACCTTAATACTAAAGATTATTTATATCTATTATACAGCGTTGGAGTATTTGGATGACTAAAATCCTTGGTAATGACCCGTTTAGCTATTGCATATTGTTTTTATTTATGATATTTATAAATCAATATTGTACATGATCAATGTATACAAATGGTTAATGTATACAGACCTCGAGAGTCTGCCTTACGAATGACTAGTGCGTAGTGTAGAGTTTAATCAATGTGTTTATTTTTTTTTATATTAGTTATTAATACGTTTGTGTTTGAATTTATCATTTTTGTTATAAGTAGCTGAGTAAGAATACGATGTTATTCAGCTTGTAATTCTCCACTATTGTCTTTACAATATACCTCTTTGATAAAACGATATTGATAGGAACTACAGCTCAATCCGTTGTACGCTTAGTATAATAAGGTGCAGCCGAAACCGACTGCATGCAGTTAATGCGTGAAGTTGTTACCAACTTCATGTAGTCGCGGTCTCGGCTGCACGAAGTTGATTACGATTTCACGCATTACCTTCACACATGCAGTCAATCTACTATTTAAAATATGATTACTACACAATCACTTTTGGATTGTATACGAGCATACACATACAAACAAACACAAACAAACACACACATGCGCGCACGCGTGCACACACTTATGCATATTATTTTTTATGTTTTACCTCATAACTACCACTAAAAATGTATAACCACGATCGCTCAGATTCCTTTTTATATTTCTACAGGGACTTTTTTGGTCCCGACTAACTCCTAAGACACAGACTTTTGCTTAGTTTAGGAGCCAGAGTCCTTAGATTTGTGACGCCTTTTCTACCTCTTTGTTTTATTTTGTTTACTTTTTTAATCAGTAAATTTCTTCTGTGTACTATATATAAGGCAAAGGTGTATTTTTTAATAAAGATATATATCTATATCTTTAGAGATATAGATATATAGATATAGAGATAAAGAGATATATCTTTTAACAGCCTGAAGTGTTGCGGCGTAGGAATGAAGACTTATAGAATTTACTTTGCGTACCTGGCGTCAATAAACATAGAGCATATAAAAGCATATTTAAGGTAGACGTAATCACGTTTAATCAAACGTTGTGCCAATTATAATTATTTTATAAACACCGCGTTATTCGCATCATGCTTCTTTTAGTTTGGTCTGGTTTGGTCGAGTATTACATAATTGACAATTTTCAGACGGATATCAAAGGACGGGAGTAGAGTCTACTCCCTAAACTGTAGTTATATAGTTACTATAACGTTTTTATTCTACGAGAGGCGATAATTTTATTGCAGAGATTAAAGTATTGCTATGTTTGTTTACGTCGACTGATATGATACTGTGTAGGATTGTGATAAAACAGCTTTACGAGGATTAAAAATAGACTAGAGTAATGAAACGTGACGTTTAATGTTCACGTTGCTGGTATTTACAAAGTAAATTCATACGTATGTCGATGAAGAAAGGCCCATTGTCGAGTCCTTCGACATTTGCATGGGGCATGAGACTGACAAATCTCTGAAACTATTGTACAAAATTTTGACTATACTTTTATGACGAATAGGAACGGATTTTTCTACATTTTTCTGCTAAACGGAGTGAGATGACCTAATATAGGGTTTTTAACAAGAACTTTGTTTTGTAAATCAATAAAACAATATAATTAGATGCCAATTATTCAAATTTTTATTGTATTAAAAAAAGTAAGGTTTGGCAATTATTAATGAAAAATTATATATGATAAATGTCCACCACGACCGCAGTTACAGATGTCGATTCTTTTATTAAAGTTTTTAATCACTTTTTGACAAAATGGTGGATTTATTTCGTTAATCACTTCACGACTTAGCCCTTAGCCCGTGGGGTCCCAGAGCCCTTCATTTCTACAAAATTTTATCGAAAAAATTAATAGACTGTCTGGGAAACCCAAGGGCTGGCAGCTACCTTGCCCAATGCATTAGCACAGCAACACAAAGGAGGACCGCTGCCAGCATCTTGAACACCTTGCCGCGGGAACCCAATTTGATTCATATTATCTTTCTAGTATTTAAGCTTTTCATTGTTTTTTTTTACCTTACCTGTATATTATCTTAATTAAATAATACTACTCATTGTTCGATAATTAAAAAAATAACGTTAAATAGTGTGAAATAGGAAATGAACGATTATGTGGTCATGTGTGGTATCATGTGAAAGGGTTTTCCTATAAAAAGGATATGTATACCAACCAGATACTATAAGCTCTATTATAATGATTACTCAATACAAGAATTCCGATCACGTGTGTCCGCGCACGAGGTCAATGTCAAGGGAATTATTAATTATTTTCTCTTTGATTTTGTTAGTTTTATTGCATTTTTATCGCGGCGTGTGGCATTAAGTACGGGCTTAAAAATGGTGATTGCGGAAATTAAACCCATGAAACTCAAACAAAGATCAATAGTTTGTTATTAGTTTATCGAAATTAGTTCAACTGGGAATCGAACATGAAATATGAAATGTGTATAAATGTTTATTTACAAAGAGCAACCCCCATAGCTTCTTAATTATTCTATCCAGGAAAATCTGCCTTACGAATGAGTCAACATCATCATCGTCACAGCCTAGTTTCACCCACTGCTGGGTGGCCTCCCGTAGTTTGTGCCATTCACCGCGGTCCTGTGCTAGCCGCATCCACCCACGGATTAGTAGAGTTTAATATCAATGTGACCATTTCGAGTGTAATTTGCTTACATATTAATTGTATTTTGTATGTCCATCAAAATATTACTGTATTTAAGACACACAGCAATGTACAAACGTAATACTAAAAAATAAAAATAAATTAATCATGCCTCAATACCGATTGCAAAATTCTCCAAATCTCTACTAAATAAATAAATAAATAACGCACACACTTAACATAGCCCCGCACTAGGGAAACCCTGTGTTGCGGGTGCCATGGACACACACATAGACAACCACAAATTACACCCAAACTCACGAGAGAAATAATTGTAAGCCATACAAATATTTCTCCCGGCCCGGGAATCGAACCTGGGACCTCTGCGTGGCAGTCCGGCATGGCAAACGTTCGGCCACGGAGGCAGTTAAATGTTAAAAGTTAATGTTATTGTAGCAGACAAGATTCATTGGAAATTAGCAACCATTTTCATAAACTCCAAACTTGAATAGCTTTTCTACTTTCGTTATTGCAATGTCGTTAGAAAACCATTTTATACTGTCTTGGGAGTTAAATTTGTAGCCTTAGCTTCAAAATTTCAGTAATAATCTTGGTACGAAAATGCTAAAAAGTTCGTAATT